ATAAGATTAAGTTTTTTTTACAGAAAAAGGTTTGAAAGAACACATAAATATGTCTCAAATATTTATTATTAAATGGAATAGAAGATTATTATGTTAGAAATAATATTTCGGTATTAGGAATAAGGATTGCGGCCGACGCAAGGTAGTAGGAATAAGGCTGATGTCTCAGCTTCAGATTCAAGCTAAGTAAGCTGGTCACCTTCACATTCAAGCTAAAGCTGAGGCTGATTGTTAAAAATTAGCCAAAATCCCAAGGTAAGAAATTTCCTTATTTTATGTTTTTTCGCAGTGACTATTAATCCTAAACCAGTTGACTGATTTCATCGTTACGTGAGTTACTTTTGAACAATAGTTAAACTCATAAACCGGTCGTTCATACTTCAGCATGATGCTTTGTGAAATTGCAATTTATCGCAAAATATTATTTAAACCGTACAACAAAAAATATTCAAAAACTTGTTCTAAAAAGTTGAACATTTCGATCTCAAATTAAAAATCAAAAATCGTTACGTGCGTTATTTGCACACATCTAAAATTTTGACAAGTAAATTTTGACAAGGCTTATCTGTGAATTGGTTGCATATTGAAAAACCGAAATGTGCAACTTTTTATTAAAGATGCCGCTTAACAAAACCATAAAGTGGATTTGGTGAAAAGATTTTAATAGCGGATTAAATTAACAATTTGTCATTGTTACGTGTGTTACCAGTCTCATTACGTGCGTTACCACGCACAAAACAATTGATAAAAGCAATCATTTCACAACTATAATAGCAAAAGCGTAGTGATTACAAATGCAAGCATGCAAAATATGAGTAGTTAAAGAGTTTAGACGTTCACGGTATTAAAAATTTAAATGTCTGTGGAGTGAAACACCATATATGTTTGGGTTTTTGAACCAGCAATTGACGGGGGATCAATTTTTCTAAGAACTTGACTTTTATCATAAAAGATCACATCAGGTTTAGTTGGCCAAACTTATGAATTCCGAAACAAATGTTTTTCAACTTGTCCAGGAAATTCTGATGCATTGTAATTAACGACACAATATCACCCTTGGAAAGTGTCAAATTTGAACTGTGACCATTTTCATCTTTTTGACGTAAGTAATCTGAAAATAATATGGTGCAATTTATTTGACGTAAGTAATCTGAAAATAATATGGTGCACTTATTTTCGCTGTTTCCCGCAGCATGATTTCGCCGCGTTGATTTGCTGTGACACAATCAATTGTTTTTATGCCTTCAACATCTTTTACATTACTCCATGGGTTGAATTCGCTGGTTAGCTTATCAACCTCTTCTTGCTAAACATGAAAAATTATTGTTTTAGGCATTAACATGATTGCCAACTCAGCAAAACCTTTAGATAATTGAACAATAGTGTTAGCTCCCTTTGACATAATTTTTTGACGTACGAGATATTTTGCTTTCCCACCAATTGCGTCAATTACCCCTCTTTCCATGAGAAGTGACGAAATACTTCCACTGAAAATTTTTGTGATATCGACAGACCAGAAGTTGCCACAAATGCAACTTGTATTTATTTTAAATTCAGACGATGGTCCATCCGATCAAATGATTTTTTCATCGAAATAATTTGAATCAGGCAATTTCATAAGATAATCGTATACTTTGAAAAGAAATGCAATAATAGTATCCTTGTTTTTCTTCAGAGTATCGGAGCAAATAATAAAACCTTGTTGTGTACCCCTTGCATACGTAGATGCTGTAAAAAGAGTAACGCTAGATCTGCTCCACATAGCTGACTTGATATTTGCATGAATATAACATTGTAAAATTTATTTGCAGGATTCTGGAGGTACATTTTGTTTTGTCTTCAGAAAAATCTTTAGCTTGGATTCTTTTCACCCGCACATGCTTTAAAACCTTTTCAAAACCCTCCTGAATGACACCAATAAGTTCTCCAACAGTACCCTGCTGCTGAATCTTGCGCAGTTGCTTCTTGGATTCAGTAATGTCGTCACGTTTGACGTACTCATTAATCCATTCGTACCAAATTGCTATGTCTTTCATGTTCTTGTAAGATTTAATATTAAAGCCGTTTTTACATAATTTACACTCGTTTTTCCAACAGGACTTGGACATATCTAATGCACTAGAAGAACACTAAATATCATTCCACCAATTATTTTTATACACAATGCCCAATCCGCTCAAACGTAGTATTAAATTTTCATGCATCACACATTTACACTGATCAGCTGTTGTATTTTCTAAAAGCAGTACATTAGGTGGACGGAGAGCGCAAAATTTGGAAAAACAAATTTTAATTGTTTCATTGTTCTCAAGAAATAACGTATATGCCTCACGGAGGAACATAGTCAAGTAATACTTCCTCAAAGTTTCCATTCTTCCATTTTTTCAAACAGCCATTGTATCTGACATGCCTGCCATAGTGTAAACAATGTCTGGTTGAAAGTAAATGCCTTTTACTAGTTTTTCAATATTGTCTTCCAAACCTTCCACATTGCGTTTTTTAAACAAACGTGTTGTATCAATTTTAAGGCCGACATTTTCTGCAACCTTGTTAAGTATTGCAAATCTTTTATTGGGAGACAGCGGTAAAGCTTTAAAACAATGTTTTACAGTTTTCCCAAGCGTTTTCGGACAACAAAATGAAGATGACGTAATTGTCGTGTTTGACTCACCCAAAAGTTCTGTAGTTGACGTTTTCGTAGATTTCAAAGTTTCTTTTTTATTAGCTTTACATTTCGCCACCTTTGCAGCTACTTTACGCCTATGTTCAGTTAACTGTTTCTTTGTCATTTTAGTAAATTTCGCAGCATGAACTTGTGCAATTCTTTTATTTTCGCGAACTTGAAATTGCGGATCTTCCTTTTTGTTTTTCATTCTAAAATTTTTAATTCTTTTTGCAGAAGTCAAGGCCCGTAGTTTCACTGCTTCCATCAAAATTAAAAAAGAAAACAAATTAACACGACAAAATAAGAAGTTGAACTTGCGCTTCCAACTGTAAGTTGAATGATTGTAAATCTGTGAACCTACGTCAGTTAAAATATTTGCAAATGCAAATAAATGCACGTGTAATTAAGGAATGTCTTTATGAGTACATTGCCTACATGCTCGTTTAATTCTGACGCTGAGAAAATTTGCAAATCATGTGAAGTTGCGTTCAGATGCGCCAATTTAAGGAATCCTATAAATAGATTCATAGTATTTGTACATACTATTTATACACATTTATTTATAGATATCCATATTCATAGATACGTAGTAGTAAATTATCGTTACGTGGGTTGCCCAATTATATTATCATAAATTTAAAAGGCAATTAAAATCAAAGCCACATGATTTCAAGTATAAATGAAGCATCCAGTGAAACTTGTTTATAATATTAAGTCATGATATAAAAAACAATTTGTTGTGCAGCATTAAAAAGTTTGTGTTTTCGTTAGAGTGTTACCGCTTATTGACTTTTCCAGTTCTACTATGCTTATAGTCGATGTCGGTTGTTTGTTTGTTTTTATAGTCGACGTCGGCTGTTTGTTTGTCTTTTATAGTCGACGTCGGTTGTTTGTCTTGTTTTTTTTACTATATTGACCTCCCCAAGGTCAGAGGGGTAACTACAGTTGAGACCTAAAATAAAAAAGTGCCTTTTTAACTTTTTGTAAAGTAGTTAGTTTCCGGTCGCAAATCGTTGAGCTCGAAAATTAATAAAAATGGATTTTATTTTAATTTTTTAAAAAAGGTCGCAACACGAAATTTTTAAAATGGTATATAAGTAGCATTATGACTTTCTGAAGCCTAGAATTTTCTTGAAACTTTTGGATTTTTTTAGAATTTTCTGGACTGCTCTAGAAATCTCTTAATCTTTATAGAAGTTTCTGAAGTCTTCTAGAAGGTTCTGAAGTTTTCTAGAAGGTTCCGAAGTCTTATAGAACTTCCTGAAGTCTTCTAGAAGTTTATGTAAATTAGCAAGATTTATAGGGGAAGCATTTTCTACAATTTTTTTCATTTTCTTTTTTTTTTTTTTTGCTATTAACAATTTGTTTGCAAAAGTTACTTTAATTTATTATTAATGCAATTTAATTTTAGAATCAAAACATTCAATTCATACAACACATTTAACAAAAAGATAAATACCATTTAAAGGCAAGGTAGATACCATTTAAAAGCAAGATAGATACCATTTAATGACAAAATAGACTTAAAAAACATTTTTAAAAAAAGTAAACATTTTGAATATGTTCAAGTAAATATTTGTTTAAGTCAACAAATTGTGAAAAAATGGCTGCGAAAAACAAAAGGTATAAAAACTAGAAAAATAATTTTGCTAGAAAGTGTTATTTTGTGTTAAAAAGTGTTATAAATTATTTTGCTAAAAAGTTCAAAATAATGTAAAACAATCATAATATTTTACAGAATATAGTTAAAGCTAGAAAAAGACCGTGAAATTGATAGATAAAATAGAATTTTAAAATATTTGGGAAAGACTTAGCCGCTATTGCATCACATTTGGAATATTTTCTACTGCGTGCCTCAATCGTTTCTCAATTCTGAAGAATTGTTGAAAAATATTTTTTTCAAATAATGTTTTTCAAAAAATGTTTTTCAACAATTTTTCCAGAATTGAGAAACGATTGAATTTCTTCCAGAATTGAAAAACGATTGAATTGACAAACGATTGAAACAAAAAAATTGAGTCTTATATAATATATATATATATATATATATATATATATATATATATATATATATATATATATATATATATATATATATATATATATATATATATATATATATATATATATATATATATATATATATATATATATATATATATATATATGTATATATATATATATATATATATATATATATATATATATATATATATATATATATATATATATATTTATACTTCTACAAGATTTCACTCATTGAAAGAGGTACTTTTCTTCTTTTTTATTTGTTTATTTATTTTATCTAACAACTGTAATAAAAATGTTATCATGGTTATTGTATCGGCAAGAATTTTTTTTACTTATACTTATATATACTACTTATATATGTACAATGTACCTTTGATGTTTTTCGGTTAAATCTAATTGACCATTTGTTATGTAATGACCGATTGTTCATTTAACTGCAACAATATATAGCATAGATATTTTCCATTTTGCAGGTAATCTCTCTTAGCAAAAATAAATAATTTTTTGTTAAACTGCATTGCTTGTTACATCATTCAAAATCTTTTGCAAATCGAGCTCAATAGTTTTAAGCAATCGGTACCCTTTTGTTTTCTTTATTGGAATTTTTGAGCCTTTATTTTTTTCCAAGTAATTTGTTACTGGTTCAACAGCTCTTTCAATAAACTGTTTAAAAGTATTTCGTAAGTCGTTTATTTTTTTTTCCGTACCCTCTTTGTATTCTTGAAATTCTTTTTTTGTTTGATTCAGTTCAATCTTTATTTTGGCGAGAGCATCTTCTGAGCTTTTCTAAATAAAAGAGTATATATATATATATATATATATATATATATATATATATATATATATATATATATATATATATATATATATATATATATATATATATATATATATATATATATATATATATTATATATATATATATATATATATATAAACAAAGTATCAAAAAGTTTTGCAAGTTCTAGCGCTAGATAATTTTTGGAAATATACTGGAAAAGATTGTTAAGAATTAATAAAATATTTAATATTTCTGTTGTTTCAATTTTTTTAAATTCACTAATTAAAAATTGACAGTTTTTAACTTTTGTTTTTATAAAAAAATCTTTTGACTTTTTTATAAAAACAAAAAATTTTAGGCGTTTGACATCCTTTCTAACAAATGATTAAATGCAAAACCATTTGATGAGTAATTCTAAAACTAAGTAAATTTCTTTTGATAATTTAAAAAAGTGAAAAAAAGGTATTTTACTAAAAGTCAATAATTAAAAAACTAGTTAATATAAAATCCATTTTTTACTTAAAAATATCATTAAACCATGCCTAATGTAATAATAAAGGTTTTTACTGCTATATGCTCTAGTTCCTGCAGTTCTTTTTCAACAACTTCTCTTGCTTCTTCTTTTTCTTCTTTTAGTTGTAAGTTCATTTTTTCCGATCTTTCGAACCTTGCATCTAACTCTGCAAGATTCTCGTGAAGTTCTTCCATTTGATCAATCATTTTGACAACAGCTTCTTCCTTTTCATCTAGTGCCTTTACTTTTTGGGCCAGCTCTTTTTTTAGTGCAACAATTTCCAAGTTCTGCACATGAAAAAAAAATGCTTGAAAGTTTTCAATATTTGCAAAATCACAAAAAATAAGAGAGCTTGACGAAATATACGGAAATATAGCCAAAAAATAAAAGATACTTTTTCTTTGATCTCTTCGTCCATTATAATGAACTCTTTCTTCATTTCTTCAAACGTAAACTCGTTTTTTTGCATTTTATCGTTTTCTAAAAGAATAACGGTCTTTATACGTTGCTTACACGTTATTATACGCTGTTTGCAATTAAAAGAAATTAAAAGAACTATAAACATGTGTTTAATATGCTAACATTTTGTTATGAAATATAATCGCAAATTAAGTCACTATTTGATTGAGTGTCCTGTGGTAGATAAACATAAATTAAAGTGTTTTTGCTGAGGTGATAATCTTAAGTGCAAATTGTTTGTTGACATTGGTTTTTTTTATATTTATTTAGATCAATAGTTCTGTTTGAATGTTGTCGAGTTTTTTAAATGCTATATAATACTTTTTTATATATACTTTTTTATATATATTTTCTATATAACATTTTTTTACTTTAATAAAAAATAGTAAAAAAATGTTTTTTATAAAAGTAATAAGCAATTTATGTAATTATAATTATATTTAAAAGTTATAGTTTGTGAATGAACAACGTGGACGTTTATTCTAATCCTTAATTATCTTGAGAATAAATGTCCATATTGTCCATACAAATTCTTTCAACACGTTTTTTCAACTCTAAGATTTCAATCGCTTATGCATAACTAACAAAGACAGATAAAAAATTATTGAAAAAATTAAAACTATTTGATTGTGAGAAACAATAAAGAAAAAAAAAAAGTATTATAAAAAAAAAGTATTATAAAAAATCTTAACCTTTTATAACTGACTTTTGTAAAATCTCTCTTTAAAAATAATTTTCACCTAAAATATTTGGACCATTTAGTAAAATTAAGGAATATGGAAAAGTGATTTTATTTTCATATTTTATTAATTTCATATATTATTCATACTGAAAATAAAAATAGTAGTCTATAAAATCCAAATAAATATTTTACTTTACTGTGTTTGACGGAAGTAGGTCGTTTATATTACCAAATCATTTTTACTGCAAATCTCTGTTTTGTATTTTACAAATTCATCAGTTCGTATTTGGTGGTTTTACGTTTGATAAAGTTCCGATCTTTACAGTTGTATCAAATATCAAGAAATAAAAACAAAAGTTTGAGAGCAAAAGAAATTGTTTAATAAGTTTGTTTAATTAAAGAAGTTTCATTTATTTAAACCATCAAAGTCCATGAGTGATATAGGAAAAAAAATCTCGAAGATAAAATCTAAAAAAAAATAAAATAATATAAAAATGATATAGATGGTGAGATATTTTTATGAGGTATATGTGATATGATATAGGGTACGGTCTATTGTAATTGAAATGAAAACAATGATAGAAACAATAACTATTGTTGTTGTATTAATTTGTTCAGAAACAATAACAATATTGTTATTGTTTCTGAACAAATTATATAATAATATTACAATATTGTGAGATATATATATCATAATATTGTAATATTGCAATAAAATAATATTTAATACTGTATTGAAATTTATCTTTTTAATTCAACAAGAATATTACAAAAAAATATTTTAATGTTCCGATCCTATAATACTAAATGTTGGTATTGTAATTCATCTATATAATACAATAAAAATTTGTAAGAAAAAATTATTGTAATGTTGAAAATTGAAAATATTTTAATAGTCCAGTCGCCGTGTCATGTAATCTTTAAAAAGGGTGCAACTAATATTTTATGACTGATTCTTAAACTATTCAGAGATATCTTGAACTATTCAGAGATACCCTTATATATTGATAGTCAAAGTTCACGGAGTGAAGAAAAAAAGGAAAAAGAAAGGACCCGATTTGTTGTGAATGAAAGGGATTTGGCTGACCAGAACTAGTTGAATTTAAATATATTTATGTAAATACTATGAAATGTAACGGCGTAATAACATTTTTTTTTTTAATTACTGTAGTACAGACTAGAGAATAATTATTAAATTGTCTACAAATGAAAACGTCAAGTACTTTCGCATTCGGCGCGTATGACCATTAAAATAAGATATAAGGTTTTATAAGACAACCTATCCAATGTTTTGGTATTTGACTCTTACTTGTTATATTTTCAAGGTATTTTATTAATAAATCAAAATCATCTAGTCTTTGCTAGAAAACAATGGTGAAAGTAGCTCTTCCACAATTATAATTAAATTTCTTATACTGTCTCAGAGTTGTTAATCATGTATAGAAGTTTCTAAATTTTTTTGGATGTATCCATAACACTTCGACAGATAAGCAAAAAAGATGTTGGTCTGCGCATGTTATCTTTGGACATGTTTAACTTGCAAACAAAGTAAATAAATAAAAAACTACACAATTTTTATTTGGTATGAAGTTATTACCAAAAGAGCATTCGTAAATAGATGTGTATTCGTAAATAGATGTGTATTCGTAAATAGATGTGTATTCGTAAATAGATGTGTATTCGTAAATAGATATGTATTCGTAAATAGATGTGTATTCGTAAATAGATGTGTATTCGTAAATAGATGTGTATTCGTAAATAGATGTGTATTCGTAAATAGATGTGTATTCGTAAATAGATGTGTATTCGTAAATAGATGTGTATTCGTAAATAGATGTGTATTCGTAAATAGATGTGTATTCGTAAATAGATGTGTATTCGTAAATAGATGTGTATTCGTAAATAGATGTGTATTCGTAAATAGATGTGTATTCGTAAATAGATGTGTATTCGTAAATAGATGTGTATTCGTAAATAGATGTGTATTCGTAAATAGATGTGTATTCGTAAATAGATGTGTATTCGTAAATAGATGTGTATTCGTAAATAGATGTGTATTCGTAAATAGATGTGTATTCGTAAATAGATGTGTATTCGTAAATAGATGTGTATTCGTAAATAGATGTGTATTCGTAAATAGATGTGTATTCGTAAATAGATGTGTACTCGTAAATAGATGTGTATTCGTAAATAGATGTGTATTCGTAAATAGATGTGTATTCGTAAATAGATGTGTATTCGTAAATAGATGTGTATTCGTAAATAGATGTGTATTCGTAAATAGATGTGTATTCGTAAATAGATGTGTATTCGTAAATAGATGTGTATTCGTAAATAAATGTTTTACATAAAAGAGTTGATAAATAAAAATCTTATTGTTATAAAATTATTTTAAACTTACAACTTAAATTTTAGGGAAGTTTCTAATAAAACTATTTATAAGAAACTTCTAAATGTATTTGAAACAGATTGATTAAAAATTCTTAAAGAGTATATCGAAAGTTGTTTAGAATTACATTAATTATACTAGCTATAATTTATATCAAAAATTTTTAAATTGGATCTCCTTAAATTTTTGTAATTCATTCTCAGAGTCTGTAATTGACGCGTCTTTAAACATTTCAAAACATAAGATAGATGTTGAATTGCTATTTTATATTTTGCAATAGTATAGTACAGTGTTATGTTACATAGTATTGACACAATATACGTTTATTAATCTAAAAATATTTAATTTTGGTTATCCGACTCTTTTTCAGCCAACCCTACCAATTAGGCTTTTATTGGCAGTTTTTTATTACGTAAGTAATAAAAAACTGCCACTAAAATAATTCATACTCAGCGCGGAAAAAAATTTTTTCGTGCCGAATATCAAGTTAAACTTTCTGCGTTACGTAATTCAAAAGAAAATTCAACTTTTTGAAAGATTCCTAATCAAAAGCAGTAAAAAGATAAGTGAAATTTATTACTTTTAGTTTGTGAAGGATATGTTTGAATTTTGGAAAGTTTAAACCACAAATTTTAGGAGAACTTGTAAAAATTATGTTCTTTTTCAAAAAAACCTCACAGTTTGTAAACATAGAAACGTAAAAATGTGCAACTCTAGAAAAGTATTTACAATGAATTTTTACTCGTTTAGATTTTTTATGTCGCATCAGACTCATTTTTACTATAGGAATAAAGGTTGAACCACAAAATGATAGGTTTTTTTGTTGTTTTTTTTAAAGTAAATACGAACAGCTAATATTTATATATGGCTGGTTACAATTTTAGATAATATGAAGTTGTATGCAGGGCCGTCCCTAGGAGATACTAAAGGAAGGCAATCCATTTTTGTCGACTGTAGTGTCCAAATTTGCCGACTGATGAATTTCCTAGAGGGGTTAGACATCCCTCTAGGGTGAAAACCACCCCTAAAAATGTGTGTAAGAAAGTTTTGCGTCAGAAGGAAGAAATGAAAACCCATCAAGCCGTTTCTGGAAATGAAATGAGTTCCTGGTATCAACTTTTACAGGTGGTACTCATTTTTAATTCTTATCAGTTCTGAAACTTGAAAAATAGTTTTTATAAGTTGAAGTTTTTGTGATAACAGCATTTTAGAATATTTCTAGAAACTTTTGGTAACTTTTAATAGTTAACTTTTAACAGTAACAGGGAAATTTCGAAAACCTTTCGAAAAGTTCTGCTGAATTTTCAAGATCCAATACGAATAAGATTTCAAGGTTGCCTTGGTCTTGCAAGCTTAAACCTTGGTCTTGCAAGCTTAAACTTTGGTCTTGCAAGCTTAAAACTTGGTCTTGCAAGCTTAAACCTTGGTCTTGCAAGCTTAAACGTTAGTCTTGCAAGCTTAAACGTTGGTCTTGCAAGCTTAAACGTTGGTCTTGCAAGCTTAAACCTTGGTCTTGCAAGCTTAAACCTTGGTCTTGCAAGCTTAAACGTTTTATTTCACTTTTTTGAACTCTCATCAATTCAACAAATATTTTAGGCAATTTGAGGAAAACAAGTCTATTAAAGTTCTATACAAGTTATGCTAATAACTGCCTGAGTACATTGTCAGGTGTAATTGTTATTGTTTGGTTTGGATAATTTTATTTAGGTTTATTAAGCAAACTGATTAGAATCCGACGTATTTAAAACTTTTAAATTATTTTTAGTACACACTTTGCTCAGCAAGAACCTATCCTCAGAACAAACTTCCCATCGTGTATGGGGCTGTCGAAAAAGCTGTGAAAGATGTTGTTCTTAATCAATATTAAAGTGATTATACGCATTGCATTCACCGCTAATAGATGGCTCATTCCATGTGAGAAATATAATTCCATCACAACCTATTACCAAATTTATAATACTTAACATAAGATTTTGGATAAAATTTAGCTAGAATTAGTTATATTAGTAAAAAAAATATTGTACTTTATTTTATTGTTTGTCTTCTTTTAAGTACATAATAATTAAAACATTGCGAGTCTTTACTGTATTAGTAATACTTTTGTCAAACTACTATCCTAACGGGCATTTGTTTTCAAAAGCTACGTTCTAAATGTGTTTTAAATGTCTTTTAAACGTCTTCTAAACATTCTTACGTAAAGAACGTTTAAAAGACGTTTAAAAAACGTTTAAAAGACATTTAGAACGTAACTTTTAAAAACGAATGCTCAAAGGGATTAGTTAAACTACTAAAAGTTGTTCAACAACTTTTAGTGATCATTTAATGGAAGCTAAATGTAGATTTTTGTATATATCAATGTGTCTCTAAGAATTTTTTTTTTTAATTATTATTACAATTTTTTTTTCGATTTTTTTTAAGTTCGACTCTACAAAGAAAACTGTCAACCGGTTGTAAAATTCTCTAATTTATGATGCTGCTAATGTGAAGACATTCTCCAAAAACTCATTATCATTCTCATCAGTTTCCTGTGTCAAGCATCTTTGAAGCTAGTTTGCTTGGATGGAATTAAAGCCAGTTCTTGGTTCAATAAAAAGCGTTTTACACTCTGCTTTCAAACTTATCTAAAATTGCCTGCCAAATGGAGTCTACTGAAGCAAACTTGATACAAAAAAATTTATTTGAAGAACTGCTCCATAAGATTCAAAGCTTTGTCTAGACATGCTGGAACAGTATGTTTTCTCTGCTTTACACTTTATAATTTGAAATCTATTCTTTTCTGCATGCAAAAGAACGGGGAAAAAAATTAATTTTCTTGCAAACATAAAACCTAGTCGAAAGAGATTCTTGATAAATCCATTTATGAAATCTGAGGAAATTTATTCTCTTATGATGAAAAGGCTCAATAACTCAAACAATACTTAATCTGCTGAAGACAAGCCATCAATTCATGAGGTAATTCCCGACGTTTATTTTGCACAAAATCTTCTCCGACAGAACAAAACCCCAAAAATGTAAAAAAGTAGTGTGTCTCTGTTTGTCCCAGCTTGAAGAACAGTTCAAGAATCATGACAATGATGAGAAAGCCTTTTGCTGAAACCTACATGTTAAATCCATGTTATCGTTGAGTAGTTATACGACAACTTTCCAAAATAAAAATCAAAAAGGTTAAGCGAGAAATTATTAACGAACATTCTTTGTATAAAGAATGAGTTGCTGCTACACACCGAGAAGTTTTAAAGGAAGTTTCCTGTAAAGATGATCTACTTTATGAAGCCTGCAGAGATGAAGAAGAAACAAAAGACATATTTTATGGTATAGAAAGTTTCCATAGAAAGAAGTTTTAAGAGAAAGTTAAAGTACTAAAAGGTACTGATGTCTTTTGCTGGTGGAAACAAAATGTCCTTCAATTTCCGCATTTTTCGAAAACTGTGGATTTACAACATGAATCAGGTAAATGAATAAACGGTTTGTTTGTTGCAGACACAAATAGATCTTATTCTTATAAGTGACATCTAGTTTTATTTCTAATTTAATTTTAAATATTCAAATTAAAAATAAAATTAAAAAAAAATAAATGTTAAACTATATCTCATCTTACTTTGATTCAAAGTATTAAGATAATTTAAAATGCTGAAACAACATATTTAAGGCCAACTTAAAAATCCGTCTAAATCTGATCAGCATCAAGAAGCAGCCAGCTTAGGAGTAACGAGTTCTTTCATAAACAGCTTTTTGTCTGTTGCTTCCTCAAGCAATACCTTAACTCGAGTGAAGCGCAATATATTCAGCACACATTGGGTTTCAGGCCCCAAGAGAAACTTCTAAAAAGCCACTCCATTGAAACATTACCTTCTTCAGATATTGCACTTCATGTAAATTAAAAAAAAAAATGATTAGAAGATGATAAAGATCAACTCAATCAGATCTCCATTAAGTTGAGTTTTGATGATAATAATTAGACCACCTAAATTTAAAAAAAAAAGCAGATTTAAGGTGCAGGTATTTATTCATTAGACACATTTAAAATCTAATAGTCTTGACCTCTTACCTAAATTATTCTATCCCCTAAATCATTCTATTCAGTAAAAATTTTTCTGGATAGAATTTAAGTATAAAACTAAATTTTATCCTTAAATTCTACCCAGTAAAATTTTTAGTATTTAAAAACATGCTTTATGAATTTATATAGAAAATATTAGGGTTATAATTTTTTTTTTTTTTTTCAGACCTTTAATATATCAAAGAAAATTTAATTTTTAGTTATAGTAATATCTTTATGTCGAATCTTTAACTTTTTAAGACATTTTCAATTTAATTTAAAAAGAACTAATGTGTTTAACAGTTTGTTTAACTAAAATTTATTTTTGATTAAATGTCAATGTCATGTTTCTTAGCAGCGTTTAAATCAACTGAAAAAAATAAAAGCGCTGAATAAAATAATTTAACAAAGTTATTTTGTATATTTGTAAGACGGCAATTAGTTAGGTAATATTTTGCAGACACTTAGTGTTCAGAAATACAACCAAGATGAAAGATTAGAAATACAACCAAGATGAAAGATTAGAAATACAACCAAGATGAAAGATTAGAAATACAACCAAGATGAAAGATTAGAAATACAACCAAGATGAAAGATTAAAAATACAACCTAGATGAAAGATTAGAAATACAACCAAGATGAAAGATTAGAAATACAACCAAGATGAAAGATTAGAAACACAACCAAGATGAAAGATTAGAAATACAACCAAGATGAAAGATTAGAAATACAATCAAGATGAAAGATTAAAAATACAACCAAGATGAAAGATTAGAAATACAACCAAGATGAAAGATTAGAAATACAACCAAGATGAAAGATTAGAAATACAACCAAGATGAAAGATTAAAAATACAACCAAGATGAAAGATTAGAAATACAACCAAGATGAAAGATTAGAAATACAACCAAGATGAAAGATTAAAAATACAACCAAGATGAAAGATTAGAAATACAACCAAGATGAAAGATTAGAAACACAACCAAGATAAAAGATTAGAAATACAACCAAGATGAAAGATTAGAAATACAACCAAGATGATAGATTAGAAATACAACCAAGATGAAAGATTAGAAATTCAGAAGTTCAGTGCCAATGACGCTTGTTGGGCTGGAGCTGGCGTCGAACCCCGGACCTCTGGGTTCTGAGCCAGAACTCTTACCACTGCGCCACGGCTGCTTTAATCTCGATCAAGATTATTAGAAATAATATGCAGAGTTAATCAAAGTTCTGCATTACAACTTTTTTTATATACATAAACAACCTCTATGAAGCATTCGATTTAATTACATATTTGTTTGATAAGAACTTTTTTTGATCAAACAATAACATAATGACACTATTATCTTGTATGGACTGTGAACTAATAAAAATTTCTAAAATGTTTAAATTAAACAAACTGGTGAAAAAAAAAAAAAGGTTTCTTTATCACCAGTACACGCTAATAAATTCTGCGTTAGGGTAAAGTTTGTGGTATACCCTTAGTAAGATATAATTTTCTACCTTTAAAGGTAAAAAATTATATCTTTAAGGTAGAAAATTTGTTTTTAATATATTAATTTTAAAATATACAACGATTTGAAAACTTGTCCTCCAAATTTTCCGAAAATATAGAAATATTATTCAAAGTAAGAAGCATGCTAAGTAAACGTACTTTAATAAACAACTAGTTCATTGATTGCTACATGCGAATGCGATGGTAATTTTGGGGTAAACTATGCAAATGCGACTTGCGTTAACGAAAGTGATTTAGAGTCTTTTCATCGCCAGTAGAAACGTGTTACATGTCTTTATTATTTTGAATACTGTTTTTCTCATGTTGAGCCTTATTTTATTGAAATAAACATTCTAAATTTATATTTTAATTAACTTAATGTTTTTAATGTACTGCGTTTTATGTTTAAATGTAAAACTGACACAGCTCCTGCTTCCTTTCAAAATTTGTATTCTTTAAAAGAAAAAAATTATTATAAGTTATGAAATTTATTTATTTACTTAATTATATTACTTAATTTAAGAAATTAAAACTTTATTTTACAACCAGTTTTCAAAAGCAGTTTAAGCAAGTTTTGTGCGGCTGTGACGCAGTGGTTAGAGAGCTTGCTTTATAAGCAGGAGACCCAGGTTCGAAACGAGCTCTGGACATTCGCGTCACGGTAAGGAAGAAGGCGTGAATTTCCTGGTTAAATGCACTTCCGCGGTGTTCTGTGACAAGACCGTTAGATCTTCTTGGGGCACCTAAATAACAAAAAAAAAAAAAAAAAAAAATAGTTTTGCATTTCATTTCGTGGGTCTTTTTTATGGAACAATAGTTTTCTTTAAAAAGGAAACTAAAAAATATTATTCTCTCAATTGAAAACATACTAATATATTTTTAAATTATGTTTTATTATTAACATTCTTATAAATTCTTGTAGCTAAAGTATTTATAACAAAATTTACTCGTATATTTAAATTTTGTATTTTAAATTTTATTTTGACTTGTCTATGTATTATCTTAACTTCTTAATTTAATGTTTAAGAAATCTTTATTATTTATATAAACATTCATTTTATAAATTTGACAAGATTATATAAACTTCTGCAAGTCTCCGCGATCTTATTGAGAGCTGTCCATTAATTATATCAATAATTTTTTGGCGGTTTTATTGAGAGCTATCCATTAATTATATCAATAATTTTTTGGTGGTTTTTACCTCCCCCATCGACGTATCAACAATTTATCAAACTTCCAGAGACCCCTGTAAAAAATTAAGTCAACATTCAATGACCTCTCTCTTTTTTTCTAATTTCCAATTTAATTTAATTTCACGGTGAAAGCCAATTATTTCTAATAGAGTCTATTATAACAAAAAATGCATTTAACAAATTGCATAAAACAGGGGTCGGCAACCTTTTGAGACGAAAGAGCCAAAAGTTACCGTTTAACCAGGAAGTTTACGCTTCCTTCCTTACCGTGACGCGAAATATATCCAAAGCTCGTTTCGAACCTGCTTATAAAGCAAGCGCTATAACCACTGCGCCACGGCCGGACGTCAACTTGTCTTGACCTCCCTCTTCCCCCTTGTCAACAGTTGTCAAAAAATTTCAGACACCCTCCCATCATTTAAATTTTTTAATGAAAAAAGTTACGTCATAAACTGGCGATAATTTTAAAAAACGGCACAAAATGTCACAACAAGGAAAGTGGGTTTAAGAAAAAATATTTTTAATAATATTGCTCCGATCTAAAGCATGGTTAATAAATTTATTAAAACTTTGAGTTTGCATTTGCTTCAACAAAACCCAGCGGGCATTTGTTTTTAAAATTTACGTTCTATATGTATTTTAAATGTCTTTTAAACGTCTTCTAAACATTTTTACGTAAAGAACATTTAAAAAACGTTTAAAAGACATTTAAAACGTAACTTTTAAAAACAAATGCCCGTAAGGGAAAGTATAAAAAAATATTTAAATGTTTTATATACATAGACACCTATAACTTTATCATTATAATTAAAAATTAAAATAGTTTATGCTTGCTACTGCAATGATGGATAGGTAGCTTGTACTTCAGCATACAATGAATTTAAAGATTGTTTAAAAGAAGACATTTCTTGTTCAAGCTGACCTAAAAGAATGAAAAAAGAAGAATAGCGAAGTTTTTAAAATAGGACATTAGAAAAAATACTTTTTTAAATTAAATAAAAATTTAAAGTATAAATATACCCATATACTCAAAAATCTCATAATTACAAACAACTTACTTATTCGTCCTAATATGGTATGCAGCTGTTGAAACTTTTCTTGACAAGTATTGTTATTTTTCATGTAAACTTTTGCAAGTGTCTTTTCCAAAAGATCACACCAGATTTCAGTTTGTATCTCCATAGATTTTCGAAACTCTTAAAACAATGTGCTTAACAAAATATTATTTTCGCGCCAATTAAATATCATTTACACAAATTGAAAAGTTTTTTAAAAATATTTTGACTTTTTTGACATTAATTTGCTTTGTTCTGCATCATTTTATTTTGTGCAAAACCATAATTCCAAGAGAAAAGAAACTAACTATTGTAAAGAGTAACTTGATCAATACAACACATAACAAACCTACCTCCTGATATAAAAAACAAAAACTGATTTCTCTTAAATATCTTAAATGAAATTTATTTAGGGTGAGTCTATTCGCACGCACGTGTGAATAGACTATATCTTCTTATAGTCTATTCTCACGTTTAAAAAAAATTTTAAGTTAGATTTTTAATATGAAATCTCTCACAAACAAAAAATGTTTTTAACTTAAGTCATGTATTTTGAAAGCAATTTAATTTTATATCCTTCAAAAGTCAGCCAACGTAAGTACTGAGTTTGTACTCCCCTGCGCTAGTTTAATTTTGAAGTTAAAACCAATAATAATAAATCTAATTTTTTTAAACTCCCTTTAAATTCGACGATCTTTACCTTTTTTTAATTAAACGTATTATTAAATATAGTCTATTTGCACGTGAAAAACGTGCGAATAGACACTCCAATCTATTTAAACAGCCCTTGGAATTAGGGTCGGCATTCGGCGATAACAACCTAAAACTTTTAGAGGTCAGCAAAAAATTGCCAACCTCAATTCTATATTTTATGGTAAAACCATTGTATCAATTCTTTTTTTTTTTGAGAACCTGACGCCGACCTCCAAGGTCGGATAAAATTGTCGACCTCATTTTCCTAATTCCGATAACTGATATCGGTTAGTTAACAAAGAGTCAATTATCATGTTTACTTGTAATCAAAATACTATTTTTCCGTTTTCAAGCAATTAAAATTTCGAGTTTGTAAAATTCATGCGTCATACCCCGTAATACATTTAGAAAACACAGCAAAGGTTTTAATAGAACGAAAAAAAAGTGATACAAGTATTATGTTTTAAGAACTATTTTAAAATTTTAAAGGTGCAATTGTTAGAAATAAAAAAATTTGCTGATAGATACAAGTGATACCAAAATTTTGACTATTTACGAATTAGAGTAAACAAAAAAGTTATTAGATGGAAAGGAGAGGGGAAGTGTGTAATTTATAACAAATCCATGACTATGTAACTGTTATGACAAATAAAATGTTACTAACCTACGATTAGGGTTTCGTCATCTTTTCTTTTGACTTCCATATCATCAATTATAGATTGCACATGATTAATTATCGATTCAGATGTTAAAGAGCTCAGCGGTTTATCTAAATCTGTGGATAAGTTATGATCAGTTTCTTCTAGTTGCTTCGGTACCTCGTCTTCTACATTTCCAATCCTTTAAAAAGTAACAACAGTAATTTCCATAGCGTGAAAAGACCATTAGCGAATCAAGTTTGAAAGCTTAACGTGTTTAAAGACCAAACTTCAAAACAAATAAATACAAACAAATACTTATCACTGTCTGCTTCAACCTTTTCTTCTCTCACAAACTTGCGTTTGTTAGTCATCGAGTTTGGTGCTTGATAAAAAAACTAAACTAAAGTTGGTGCTACAAATATATATATATATATATATATATATATATATATATATATATATATATATATATATATATATATATATATATATATATATATATATATATATATATATCAAAAATTGAATACATAAATCAAAAACAAAAACGACCGTTATGTTATTTTTTAATACAAATATTATTAATGTTTTTTTAAATGCAAGTAACTTAATTTTAATTAAAATACCTTGCAAATTTAAACGATTTTTCAAAATAAATAATTTAAGTAAATCTTGCGAAATCTTTATATAAATTTGGTAAATAAAATGCTACAAACATAAATCTTTATAGTTTTAATAACACAAAGTTGCCTAATAAGTTAACTAATTAAAATTATTCCCTTGAGTTATAAATACAATTTAAATGAGAATTGAATTGATAATACGATTTGCGGGAGAAAAGAATTTTTGATTTTCTTCAAGGTTTCCATTTGTCAGTTGTAAAAAATAGTTCGATTTGAAATGTTTCGAATCGAACTAGTAAGCTAATCGCTCGAATAAATTTATGATTTTATATGTACAAATAACAACAACAACAAAATTTAAAAACTTCCGAGTCAAGAAATACCTGCAAATCAATATGAAGTTTTTTTAAACTTATATAGCATATAGCCAAATAGCTGATAAAAAAACTTCACGTTTTGTCTCTCATTAGGTTCTAAAACTATTAAGAGTTGGCCCTGCTATAATCGGATAAGAAGTTTTTTTGAAATCATTACGCTCTTTAAATCGGCGCATTCCTATAGATAAAAATAAATGTTGATTTTACTTAGACAATAAAAATGTAAATTCTTTTTCAGACAATGAAAATGTGTCAATATATTTCAGTACTAAAAGCAACTACAATATGAGTATAGTCTTTTACGTATTCTATTAAACACATACATACTTTATTATAAACACTACATACTTCAGTTGTGACTGTAAACTACTTTTGTTTCTTGCAGACTATAAATTATGGTCTTTAATTATTTGATTATAATTATACAACTATAATTATAGTTGTAAATATAATTTAATTATGAATTATAACCTATACATAACAGTTTTAACTATATTATAGTTTAATAAAGTTAAACTATAATATAGTTAAACTTAACTATAATATATTTAAGTTTATTATTTCTCTAAATAAGTCAATGCTTTTATAACTTGAAGATGATCTTTTTAAAAACTTATAGTAACATTTTTTTTTTTCGTTATACTTTGTATATATATATATATATATATATATATATATATATATATATATATATATATATATATATATATATATATATATATATATATATATATATATATATATATATATATATATATATATATATATATGTATCTATAAAGTTTGTTGCTTTGCATATCCGTAATTTTCTTATCTTTTTCTGACACTGCTCTCTCAACAGAATATGTTATGATATTATCAAAAAGCAAATTACCTTAGAAATGAAGTAAATTAAGTAAACAAATATTTCACTTAGGCTTCCCGTTATTTAAATTCCTGTTGAATTTTAAGTAATTTCACTATGATTTTTATCGCACTAAAACTTATTGACACTATCCAATGTTCTTGACGATGCCCAATACCTTCATTGAGTTACTGCTTGTAAGTTGCATGTAATGCATGTTAACTCAAAAATTATAGCTTTGGCCTTATTTAATAATTATGCAATTACAAAGTATTTATGCAATTTCACACACACACACACACACACACACACACACACACACACACACACACACACACACACACACTATAGATTAAATATTGTATTATTTTCTAGTTAAAAAGTAATTTGAATAATATTTTACATCATCAATTTGTTGAAATAATTTTTTATCAGCATAATACAAAAAAACTTTCACTAAAAGACCTTGGGTTTGCATTATGAGGCCTTGTTATTCCTGTATACTTTATCTAATATAGGTTTTATATGTATATTTTTATATTTGGTTATAAAGTTGTTTATTTATATTTCAATTAAGAATTTCTAAATTGTTTGCTAAACAATATTAATTTAAACAATATTAATTTTTGTTATAGTACACTTTGTTTTATAAACTGCAACATAATAAATTTGTAAACTTTTGTGAAGTATGCTTGTTGTTATACTTATTGCTGTTTATAAAGTCTTTGTTAATGTTAGTAAATTAGTTTTTAAAATCAAAGAAGAATATTAATTAAGATTCAGATTTAAATTACAAACTTGTAATCATTAACAAATACAGTTTTAGTGAATTTTCAATTTTTTTGTTTTTAATAAAATAAGGTTTTTTAATGGAGTTATATTATTTAAATGTAATATTTATCATAAAGACAAGATAAGTATTAACCTATAAAATAAATACTAATTTATATTAGATTTAAGCAAAAAAAATGTTTTTTATTGGACTTACGTATATATTTTTTTCAATTTTACAAGTTTTTTGTTATTGAAAAATTTTTGTTTTTATTCATTCATCGTTTTATTGTTTATATTTTATATATATTTTATATGTAATGTAATTGTTATATAATTTTTTTTATTGTTTAATATTTTTCTTATATTTTTATTTTTTAATAATTTTTAAAGTATAGACTTATCCAACGAATTAATTGGATAAATCTATACTTTAAATTAATTTAATTTTCAATTATTATTAATTCAGTTGACAGTATAAGGGGAATGTTTAGATTAAGAGCTACATAATGCACATATATACAAAGGAGAACTTTTTTCATTGATGAAGTTATTCTGAAATAACATGTAGTATTTTAGTGCTTACATCAACTATAGGTTAGGGTAAGTACTATATAGACATAAAAGGTGTTTATTATACCAAAACATCTGCCAGTATACCCTATAAAACGAGTGTTTTTTTGTGTTGTTTTCAAAGAATAGAGTAGTAAAAAATAAATAAAAAAACACTTATCTAACTTGTAGATGCTTTTTTGCTGACGATCCTGTTAAAGGAAAAACTGTCAGTAAAACAAAAAGTCAGACAAGCGCTTTTTTACTATTTTTACTTTCCCGAGAAATTTGCAGGACTTAAAAATTGTAAATCATATGAGTCAGAAAGACATGAGGTAGCTAACTTCCAGACATGTAGCAAACTCTAAACATTTGTATGTTTATACTTATGTCAAATAAAGATGTTTTGCAAAAAGAGCTATTATTGGAACCTGGGAACAAAAAAGCCCTAAAAATTTTGCTTTCTACCCCCCCTCCTCCTTCCTGCCCCCTCTGCCACTAGAATTTTATTAAGATACTTCTTTTAGTGTGTCGGTATGAGTAGAACTATCACAATTGTGTAATATGCAGTCTCTATTTAATAAGTCACATACAACTAATGTCAAGAAATCTTTATATTCTGAAATATCTGGTATTTTTAATCCCAAACATTTTGTATTCTGATTGTATTCATAAACACATACTGAGTAGAGACCTGAAGCATCTCCAACAGGAATACACCACTTTGATTTATGTTCACAAAGCTTAGAAAACCCTATCTTGATATCAAAGAGAATTTTAATGAACTCTAAATTAAATAAATTTGAAAATAATATCTTTTACCATCAAATTGGATTGAGAAATACTGTTTTCCTGGACACATTCAAAAGTACTTATCTGGTTAGCAGAATTCATGAACTTTATGTTTTACTTTCTTACTTATTAATCTTTCTTTTTTTTTAGACAGTTCTGCCGTTTTGCAATGCCTTTGTTTCAAATACCATGTAGTTTTTATCATTCTTAGGCAAGCAGAAAAATAAAAAAAATTCTGTGTATAGTTAATGTTCAGACTCAGGAACCAAACTCAGTAGTTTAAGTTTTTCTGATTTTGAAGAAACATAAAACTTAAATTAATTCCATTATTGAGTCCAAGTCTTGTTTACTTTAGTAACACAGCTCTTTCATTTTTGGTTCACCATTAAATATGGAGAAACTCCTAAAACTATTTTCTTTTTAGTTACAGTGTGGATTTTATTCATCTTTCTTTTTGCATAGCCTGTCTTTATAAGCTACCAATTTTAGTGGCGAACAACCAAAGACATTTATGCTTCAATAAAAGTTTTCTTTTGAAATGATTCTCTTTAAAATCATTACATTTATGTTTACATGAATCACTTTCATAATCTTTGTTGTTTTTTAAATACAACACTTTTTGACATTCTGTATAATGCTTATAACCAGCTATAAAATCAAACTCTTTAGCAACACTAATACTCACTACTCAGTATCAGCAGATTCTAAAAAGTAACAAAATGATAAAACATTAAATAAACCATTATCTATTAAATAATTTATTAGGCCAATTTATTTTTAAATACTTTTAAATTTAATTTTATGTGTGTTAAATGGATCACAGCAAAACTACAATCATACAAAGTCTCAAATCTATCCAAGTAAACCTTTTCATGGTGATGACAAATAGCTTGATATATATATATATATATATATATATATATATATATATATATATATATATATTTATATTTATATTTATATACATTTATATATATATATATACATATATGTGTATATATATATATATATATATATATATATATATATATATACATATAGTTTAAATATATATATATAAATATATATATATTACATATATGTATGTATAATATTTTATATTATACATACATATGCGTTATAATTTATATATATGTATATATATATATATATATATATATATATATATATATATATATATATATATATATATATATATATATATATATATAAATATATATATATATATATATATCAATTTTTTTACATAGATTTTACAATTAATAATATAGTATATTATGACTAAAATTAAAGTGATTTTTTATCAAAAGGCTGATGGAGGTGCATTTTTTAGGAACAAAATAAGTAAGTTGACAATACTTGTAAATAGTTTTATTTTGTAAAACCGGAAGTTTTTGAAAAATTATGCTGTTAAATCTATTTGATTAATTTAGTGTTATAGATGGAGTATTTGACAGATGAAATATTGTTGATGATATTCAAACATTTACATACAGATGAAATTACAGTTATTTCCCAAGTAAACAAAAGATTTTGTAATGTTGCCAAAGATGTCTCTTTATACAGGTATTTACTAGATATTAGTATGTTCTTATCAGGGATGTGGAATCTAAAGTTCAGAGTCTGTATATGTATAGAGTCCAGAGTCTTGGGAGTCCATTAATATTTTGGGACTCTGAGACTCTTATTTAGTTATTAACATGCTTCAAGTAGAACAGTCTTGTCATAGAACACTATGAATGAATGTTTAATCAAAAATTTCACATTGCTTTTCTTACTATTTTTGTTTGTATTTGGCCAGATTTGGCATCAGTTTAGAATTCCCTGATAGGCTGATCTTTTTTAAATCATTTAAAATATTTAGCTTTGGATAAACTAATGTATTCTAAGAAAATGTTGACGCATACAATGTCACATAAATGCTTGCTAGCAATAAAAAAAATCTTGATGCATACAATGTCAATTAACAAATGCTTGTCAAATGCCACTTAACAAATGCTTGCTAACGTAATAAAAAAAATCTTAAAAAATCAAACCATTTTATGTATGAACATGGTTATGGATTTAAGGCAGCAGGGTTCATTAGGGCAATTCTAAAGTAATTTTCCTATCATAAAAGTTACAACAGCTGGTCATCATCCTAACCCTTGTTAAGATATTGGCAAAACATTTAAAAGTTTTTGATTACTATCTAAATGGGGTTATTATCTAAGTCTTCGCATCTTTTAATTTTTTAAGGATTTTTTTTTATTGTATCAGCAAATATTGGTCTCAAATTATATATAAACAGACCTTGACAGGAAGCGAGAGCTTTAACTCTCGCTCTCGCCCACACTCCCCTAAAACGGTTTACGGGAGCGGTTTACGGCTTTTCCAAAAGTATAATTTTTCTGACGAAAGTATAAGAATCGTTGTAACTAAAATAAAAAACACAATGTCATTTTAAAAAAAATTAATTGCATAATATACTGCAATGCTTTTTAAAAAGCACGGTTGTTGCAAAAAAAAAAAAAAACAAACTAAAAAAGAGCGCTGGTTTAAATAAGGAATTGCTCGCACAGCTCCCCAAGTTCATTTTAGGAGAGCTTTTCTCTGCTCTCGTGCTCATTTATTCCCGCCAAGGCCTGCATAAACAAATGCTTATAGTTCTGTTTAAAAATTATTTGCGTTTCAGTAAAACTATTCAACCCCCTCTAACCATTCAAAAAACTTAAAATCATTAACATATAGCCTTTAAAGACTAAAACTTACATAAATTTACATTTTCATTTAAATTTATTAATTTTTTCTATCAGGTGGCATGTTTTCTCCATATGTTTTTTGGTTTTTAACTTTATAATATGCATGGTTTGCATTAATTTATTGGATTTGTAAAATCATATTTAAAAATAGCTAAGCATTTGTTTTTAATTTATTTTAAAACAAGTTTCAAACTTAAATAAGTGTATAATGGAATATGTTTAATATATTTATAAAGTATATAAATTATATTACTTGTTACTTGTCACTATGTTTATTAGCCTAAACAATTATTTGTTTTTTTTTAGAACTCTTTCATTTAAAAATAAATTGTTATTATCAGCCAAATATATACACACACTTATGCATCGATATAAGGAACAAATGTTATCATTGTCACTAATGGAATGTTTTTGGATTCCTTCAAACAGTTTAAAACTAGCCCTTGAGTCTTGTTGTAATCTTCGTGAGTTGTATTTGACAGGCTCAAATCTTCAATTTAGTGCTTTGGAGCTTATAATTAATAATAATCCTTACCTCACAAAACTAGCATGGAGTGTACCTGACAAATATTCATTGGTTCCACTTATTCATCCAACAACTGGTTTGCCGACTCAAACATATCATCAAACTCAAAAAATGTTCAAAAGATTAACTAGTATAATGCTGCGGTTTAACTCGTTACCCAGCTTTGAACATTTTCTTCCAATTTTTGACTCTAATGAAATACTTGTAAATGAGTTAGGTTTGGAATACTTTAGTGATCACTCCTCGTGCTTCAACACCATTGGAAATTCATATTCTCTCTACATAAAGAGTGAAGAAAAGTTTTTAGTGCGGTTAAGGGATGCTGTGATTGTCAATAGATACCTTCATTTTAATCTTATTGTAATGGACTTTATTATACAAACAGTTAGAGAAGCTGCAGATACTGGTAGTCTCACTGCTCTTATAGCACCTGGAACATCAAATTCTTTTTGTTGGAATTATATAAAGTCTGTTTTTAAAACTATATCATTTAAAAAAATTGATTTAAGTTATTGTATTCTTGGAAAAGAGCAAATGGCATGGCTTTCTAATTTGAAACAATTAAAGCATCTAAATTTAAGCAATGTCAGTTTGTTTAAGCTAAACTTAATGAAAGTAGTAGCTCTAAATAATCCAATGTTAGTCTCACTTAATTTATCATCTTGTCATGATTGGATTGAAAAGGTAAGATTTTCTTTAAAATTTAGTGTAATAGTTTCCTTAGTTCCACTGTTTTTGTTTGTTTGTTAGTATGTTTGTTTTTGTTAAATAAATTTTGATATTTTTGATGCTTTTATATCTAATAGGATTTACACGGATTAGAAGCTTTAGCATTACACTGTAGACATCTTAAAGAGTTAAATTTGTCTTCATTACACATACATTCTGTTAATACTGATATCAATAAACTTTGTCAAACGGTCAGTAAAATTAAAACATTAAAAGCTTTAGCAATACCTGCATGTGGTTTAGTGAATAATATGTTTCCTAACACTGATGACAAAAATGAAACATTACACAGAATGTCGACTTCAAAATCTGTTTCTAGTCTAGTTCTAACCACTGGTTTTTCGCCTCAACATCATTGTACTCCAAGCAAATTATTCAAGTTAGAAACATCTGAATCTGGAAGTTACTACACAAGAAATACTCGTTTGTCTCTTGAAGATGAAAATTTAGTTTGTCAGAGTGGCTGTGGTTTAGATTTTATTGTGGAATACTGTGTACAGATAGAGGAATTAGAAGTAGTTGATACCGGATTTAATTCAGCTTTTGGCGGAATGAACAGTCAGAAAGATCAATATTTCTGGTATGTTTTTTTCAATGTAATTTAGATTTAATTTTAAATTTTGTTTTAAACTATTGATAACTGTATTCATTGATAATAAACATATTTTTGTTTTCTTATATAACTGTTTATCAAACTTGTATCATTTACTGGTTTCAACTCTGTATGAGTTACTAGGTCATACATAGAGGTGTCAAAAGGCTTAATTGGAGAAAAGATTTCTTTCAATCATGAGGAAAATATTAAAGTTTTATTTATACTGATGTTGAATTTGAAAAAAAAAGGTAATTCCTTTAAAAAAGAATGGTAGTTGGATACAAAGATAAAAATACCAAATAAAAATTGCCATCCCATTTTTGAACTGCAATTAGTTTTGAACTAACAAAAAAAAATTTAATTTTAAATTAGGCATTTATCAACAAGTTTTACATTTTATTTTGTAAATTTTTGGTGTTAAAATGATATGATATTTGAGTTGATAATGAAATTTAGATTTTGTTGAAGATTGTTGATCTAAATTTATATAGAAAATTTTTAATTAACTTTTTGGCATCTCATATGCTCATTAGTCAACAACTATATAAAGCAAATGTTTGATTTTTAATTTAGTCCTCCAACTTTTTATCTAAAAGATAAAGTATTCTTTTCAATCTGTAAGCTTCAATCGTTAAGAAAGTTGACACTTGCAGGTAGTAAATTTAAACTTTTTTGTAAAATTGGGATTTATTTTATTGGTTATTTTTTAGGGTTTCAAATTTATAAAACTGTTTAATACATTTTAGATTTTGTTAATGAAAAAGTATATATTTTTTTTAGGTATTTTCTAATAAATTTATTCTATAATATTTCTTTACTCTTATTAACTGAATAATTGTCATAGTTCTATTTTTTTTTTTACAAATTTCTATAACTCTGAAACTTCTATAACTCCGATATTTCTATAACTCCCAAACACAAACCTTGACAAACAAGGCCGCTGTGCTAAGCTGTTAATCACATAACAAATATGCCTAGAAATTCTTTAATGGTAATTTGAAGTATAATATTTTCCGCTTTGTCTTTAAATAATAAGTTATGTTCAAATAAGTAATAAAGATATACATCACGTAAATAAAGCTATATTGATAAAATTAACAAAACATCAAAATGTTTAAAAAAACTATATTGATAAAACTGCATAAACTAAAAAGGTTTGCATTTGCTTTAATTGTAATATGTTAATAAATATTTCAAACACAAAGTTTCTTCAGATTTGCAGTATGTTGACAAACTGCTTGTTTGGCACAAATGTTGGATCTTTGCGTATTTATAGGCGAAGGAATATCACACCAAAGTTTCGTGAATGTATTGATAGTCTTTGAATGATCTTTAATGGCTTCCTCCAATTCTTTACTATTTTCAGGGTTAAACATTTGGTTTGAAAACCAATATCTGCCCATTTTCCAGCAACAAGCTTAACTGCCATTTTAAGTCGTTGTCTGTCTGAAGGATTAGTATGTAAGCAAGTAGTAAGAAGTTACCTGGAAATTCCATCTAGATTGGCTAATATTTGGTAAATTTTTAAAGTTAACCTTAGGAAACTCCTTTTCATTCTAAAAGTATTTCACTATGTTAATCAGATGCTTCAAAAACTGAAAGCCATCTCTCCATTTCAGTTCAGTCTCCTTCAATTGTATACCACTATTGTCAAAGTTCAATGTTAAATAGTCATATTTACTATGTATTGCTTCAACAAAATAATATGACAGTTCAGGTGAATTGGTATTACCTCCAAAAAAGTCATCCAGACATAACTTTAATAGTCGATTTAATATATGGTGTTGACAACCAACATAGAGAGATTTCTGAAAGCCAATACTTTCAAACTGTGCCATTAATCTCTTTATTATGCCACTTATTTTCCAAGTGTTAATATTTATAGTGTGTGTCGTGATCATTTTTATAAATAAATAATAATATTCATTTGAAAGTTCTTGAAGTCCTTCAAAAATTGTCTCTGACTTTCTATTCTTCAATATCATTAGCTTTAGCCAAACCTCTTTTTTATTGCTCTTTAACAAGACTACTTGATGTTCCCTAACCCACTTATCTTTTCTCCATCAAAATGCAAACACCATTACTACTTTCATGTTTCTTTTTGTATTCATTCAGAATTGAAATTGATGGCATTGATGGAATATTTCCAATTTTAATTTTCCTTGAAGGATGTATTTTTTTTAGGATCATCTGGCTTCTTTGTAGTATATTCCACTCTACCAGATGTCTCTAATTGCTTTAAATAAAGGTTTTTATCTTCAGAATGCAACCAAAGTTCATCCTCTTTCGTAATATCTAAACCATCAAAACTATAAGTACCTAGGTTTTTTTATTTTGATTTGTCTCTTTTTAATCAATTTTTTCTATTATTCTTGGCACTGATCTTTTGTCTATTGTCGGAAAATTCAAATTAGGCCATAGTTCTAAACATTCATGTAAAATTTTCTTTATTTGTCCTTTCATATTTTTACAGTCTGATGCCAAGATGGTGTATTGTTTAATTATTTGCCAATTTGTTGACATTTTACATATTAATCCTAATGATTCTTAAGATTTACTCTTACATAATCTTTTACTTTTCTTAAAGTGAATCAAATTCTTTTTCCATACGTTTCTTGATATTTTGGTATGGGGTCGTCCATAAATTACGCCACGCTATAAGGGGAGGGGGTTGGTAGTTTTGTGACAGCTCATACAAAACTTGCTTCTTAAGTGTTACGATTTTGTGACAAGGGGATATATATATATAATAATAATAATAATAATAATATATATATATATATATATATATATAATAATAATAATAATAATAATATATATATATATATATATATAAAATAATATATATATTTATATATATATATATATTAATTTATATATATATATATATATATATATATATATATATATATATATATTATTATTATTATTATTATCATTATATATATATATATATATATTTATTTATATATATATATATATATATATATATATATATATATATATATATATATATATATATATATATATATATATATGTATATATATATATTTATATATATATATATATATATATATATATATTTATATATATATATATATTATTTTATATATATATATATATATATATATATTTATATATATATATTATTTTATATATATATTTATATTACTTTATATATATATATATATATATATATATATATATATATATATATATATATATATATTGAATTAACTGTTTGTGATAAATAATAGTTCTTTATGACTCTTTGTATCTAAAAGTGACACAATTAAGTACATTTATGTGAAAACCAATTAATTTTATTAAGGAAACAAATTTAATTTTATTGTTTTTTAAAAAACCACAAAAATGCAATTGAATAGACTAATTGTTTTTTATTGTTTTAGTTTGAAAAAAAACATTTTGACTGTTTTTATTATTATTTTTTTACTGTTTACCTGGACTGACAAATAGGTAAAATATGCGAGTACTACTACATCGACTGACAAATAGGTAGTACATGTGACGAGTGTTGCCTTATTGACTGACAAATAGGTAGAACATGTAAGGAGTGTTGCTACATGACTGATAAATAGGAAGAACATACAAGAAGTCTTGCTACATCGACTGAGGGTTTCGGTTTGGGCAGGCAACCTATTTATTAAAAAAAAGTTAAACTTTTTCTAGTCTTCTAAATTATTTAAAAAAAAACAACAACAACAACAAAGGTTATACTTCATGTTCAAAATTAAAGTCAACCAAGCAAGAGTATATAAATAATTGTAAATAAAACAACTTTAGTAGTAAGATTAATAGAATAATCATTAGTGTAAATAAGACTAATATCAGCAAAGGTGCTGTTTTGTGATGTCCCTTAGGCTACTGGAAAAGAAATAGAATGCTTTTCATTAAGAATAGCACTGTTATTATTGGAGAAAGATTCTATAATTTTTTTATGTACCATATGGTGAAAGATTATTGAGAAGTTTATTTTGAAAGTCTTTTCAAATGTAGTTTAAGTCAGAAATAAGAGAAAAAATCCTTTCCTTATTCTGTTTATTTTAACATAGTATATATTTAGTTTGATGAATTAATGAGCATATTTTATTTGTTTATACAGACTTTTAAATAATCTTTGGTGAGCTGCAATTCCATATCATCATCCCTGCTAATTCAATTCGAAATGCTGTCATTACATTCACAGTCTTAAAAGTATTTTTTGTATTAAGTTGGCTTTCAAAAGTTTTTGTTGCACTTTTGCTTGTTGAAACAAAAAATAAATAGGTTTGTCTTTTGGGAAACCCCATGGGAAAGATTCAAGTTTATTACATGCAGTTTTCTTTACCAGCTCTAGCTTGGCTTTTTATGTGCAATAATATATTAACAATTTTACTTACATATAATTTAGTATTTGGTTCAATTATTCAAATATTATTTAGCAAATATATAGTATTTGATATTTGAATATTATTTATCATTAATTGGCAAATACAGCCAAATTTATTTTAGCTTAAAAAAATGTTTTATTTTTGTTAAATATTTTTATTTTCTAACATGTTGATAATTCTAAAAAAAAGTGGTAACATTTATACAAGTAAATTAGTTTTAAAATTTTATTTTTGATTTTTTTTTTTTTTTTTTTTGATTTTTTAGTTGTTTTTAATTAAATAGTTTAAACATGAATATACCTGATTTACAAGCGCTGTAATATTTATGCAATAGTATTTTATTTTTATTTTATTTTTTACTGAATTTAGATTAAATCATTAAAAATATTTTTCAAAGCTCAAACTGAAAAAACTTTTTAAAATTAATTGATTCATACTCTTAAACATTTAAGGCATCCAAATGTCATTGGTAAATTGAGAGATTGTAAGATAAGAATGTCATTGGTAGATCTTACAGTCATGAGATTGTAAGATCCAAATGTCATTGGTAAATTGAGAGATTGTAAGATAAGAATGTCATTGGTAGATCTTACAGTCATGAGATTGTAAGATCAAAATGTCATTGGTAAATTGAGAAATTGTAAGATGAGAGTAAATTGGTATTTACTCACATCTGCTGAAGGGAAGAGGGGATGTTTTTAGTTTTTTAGTTCCCTTTTCTCTGGAGTTTTTTAGGGCTCCCTTGTTTATTAATATTGAAGATATATTCATCTGGTGATGGATATATTCATCTGGCTGTGATAGATATTTTCTGCAATAATAGCAAGGAACTAGATTTTTGTAAAAAAATCTAGTTCCTTATAAATGTGTGATGATAAACTTACTTTTAGAATCAGAATTGTAATTTCAATGAATTTGAAAATGGTTAACCATTTCCAAATTTATTAAAATTACTATACAATGAATTTAAAAATGGTTGTTAAAAATTATAAACAAAACCACTGAATAATTAGTAAAGTATATTATATTATTATTACAATATTTATTAAACTGTTATCTTTATTATAATTATTACTAAATCAACTATTACAACAACTCTTTTTGAGACAAAGGCTCAACAGTTTATTTATCTATGCAAACAGAAAACAGTTTATTTATCTATGCAACCCTAAAGATCTCAAAACTTTGTAATCTTGTTCTTTATGTGAATTTGATTATCTTTTTTTACTCTTACATATAAATATTAGACTAGATATTCCAGACAAATATTATACAGTTTTTGTGAAATGATTTTGGTTGTCGCATTTAGTTTTAATTTCTTTACATTAACATGCGTTTAATAAAAAGGTCATTTGGATCTGCTGATCTTTAGAAATTTCAGAAGTTTTTTTTTTTAATTTAATGTAGTTTTAACTTTTTTAGGCTTATCGGGTGTCGGAATGTTTTCTTCATTATGTCAGATAACTGGTTCGTGTTGTTTATTAGAAGAGCTGTCAATTGCTCATTGTGGACAAAGCGGACATTCAGGATCTCTCTCATCATTGAGACAAGCAGTTCTTAATTGTAAAAGACTCAAGAAGTTTAGGTCAATATTTTAACTTTAAAGTTATTTTTTATATCAACATTTTTAATAAAATGTGTAAAGAAGTCCAAAAAGCAATATTTGAAGTTAGTTTAAAAAATTGAGTTTTTTTTTAAGTTGGTAGGATTGAATATTATTTGTGTTTGATTTGCTCAAAGAATTTTAATTTTTTGTATTTATATTTGATAATAATAGAGTATTAATTTTTGCTATTCATTTGTTTGCAAATTTATTTCTTCGTTTTTTTTCATTAAATCTTACTAAACATGTTTAAGTGTTTTTATAACACCAACATTTTCTATTGAATTTGAAACTAGAAGCTTTAGTATTATATTTTACAGTTTTCCTTAAACCTGGTGAGATACTGACATTAAAATTTGGGGAGATGTATTAAATATTTTAAAAGAATTGATTTGGTATTATTAATTAATCTTAATCATCCTCCACCAATCAATTCATTAGGATCTTATTCCTTTACAAATAGATTAGCATCTATTTGTAAAGGAATTTTATCAATTTCAAAAAAATACTATACAACGAAAATTCATGAAAAAGTATTACACTTTTTAATAATACCATGACATGAATGATGAAAACAAGGAAGTTACAGCCCAATAACATTTTGGGCTCTAATTTATTTTTTAAAAAAGACTAATAGTTTTTAATTGATATGGGATGTTAGTATTAAACAGTGGAAACAAATTATTATAGAAAAGGAATATTAATTTTATTATAATTTATTGTTTAGATTTATAATTTATTATAATTTATTATTGGAAACAAAAAATATAATTCTGATAATAGTCATTTATATATGATATTTAAACTTTCTATCTATGATATACAGGGTCATACAAATTTTATAACAACATTTTATCATATAGATTGGATCAGCCTTATTTCCATTTGAAGGAAAACATCCTTGAAGCTTTCCACTCCTGTAAAAATCTTCAATTGTTATGTCTTATCAGTAAAAATGGGAAAATTCCAAAAAAAGTTGAACACTATGTAAACTTGTTTTATCAGGTAAAATATTTTACATCTAATATTAAAATTGTTTTAATAATTGCAATTTATTTTAACAATTGCCAATTGTTTTGTGAATCTTTGAAAGCAAAAAAATATTATTATAATATGTAAAAAGTATTTTCTTCATAAAAATTGGTTTTTAATTAAAAAAAACAGTCACAATCTATTAATTACTTTACCAATTTTTTTAAAGTAAAAATATCTAATACTTGTAGAAAGCATAATTATATTTACCTCCCCATAGCTAAGGAGGCTACTACAGTGGTTTGTTGGTTGTTATTTTTGTTGTTGTTGTTACCAACCCTCTTTTAAGCCTTAAACTCAGAAACACTTGATGAACAAGGTTGCTTCATGGAGAAATAAGTTAATTGCACTGGGGTGTGGTGGGGATTAAATTTTTAATTTCTTACTTATGAAGCAATTCAGTATTTTGTTGCAGTAGTGTATTCCAGCAAATATGTTCCAGTAATTCGTTCCAGTAATATGTTTAAGTAAGTTCTTCCAGTAAAATGTTGCATTAGTTTGTTTCAGTAATGTGTTCCAGTAATATAAGAATTGTCATGGTCACTTTAAAAACTCTTTAACTCTGAAACACAACTTTTGAGTATCTTTTGCTGCACAGAGAAACAAGTTGAAGACATAGGCAAACATAAACTCAGAGCATCTTACTTACAAAGGAACGCTCAACACTACAGCTATCACTACACCGCTATCTGGTTATTATGTAAATTACTCATTACAAACTACTTAAAAAAAAATTTTTTAAGTTTAGTCTAACTCATTCTAAAAAAAAAAATTATTTCATTTTGTCAGATTTTTGTTCAGGTATAAATTTTTTAGTAATTCATTATCATAGATTTGAATTCAATTTAAACTAATCTTTTTTAAGTTTGTTTTCAGTTTTATTTATTGAGGGAGAAAACTCATTGCTTTTGCAAAACTAGCACACAAAAAAAAACAAACATAAACCGATTATAGAATGATAATGATGAAATCCATTTATTGAACGATTATTTTCATTTGTAGTATGAAGAAGCATATACAGCTCATAATCTTTTTAAAAATTGCAATGGGTATTAATTTTCCCATCATTATGAATGGGAACAAAATTAATTTAAGTAAAAAATAAAAAGTTTACATGACTATTGAAAAATGTTGATTAAAAATTCTATTATGATTGTTTTTTTTTTTTTTTATTTCTAAGAATTCTTTTTTTAATGTATTTGAATTGAACTTTAAAATTTGCTTATAACTATAAAACAGCAAATTTAAAAAGTTTCTACAAAATAAAACAAATTTTATCAAATAATCGAGTTCAAATCAGAGTATAAATAAAAACAAATTGCAAAACATTTTTTTAAATTTTTTTTATTTTTTAATTCTGGTTCCCAGCAAGGCCGCAAGCTATTAAGTTGAGAGTTACAAGAATATAGTCATAGAGCAAGGAAACTGTTGATAGACGACTTAAAAAGTTGAAGGTTGTATGAGTTAGGAAAACTTGAAGATGTGAGTGAGTTCCAAAGGGTTGAAGTACGGAGAAAAAACAAGACAAAAGTTTTTAGAGCATCCTGGGACAGATACAGTAAAAGAATGAGATTTTGCTGAATGACAAGTCAAACGAAAATGAGTTTTAGTTAATGGAACTAGAGATGATAGCTCCTTTGACCAGCAACCATGAAAGTATTTGTAGAAAACAGAGATGCAACTTTACAACAATGGGAAAATTGTAAAGTTACAAGATAGAGCAGGTCCAACTACATTTACAATCCATTTTTGAACCTTGTCTAGAAGAGAAAGAGCATCATTAGAAAAACCAGCCAAAATATGACATCAGTATTCCATACATGGACAAATAAGAGATTCATAGAGGTAAAGAATGGAATCAGGAGAGAGAAAATGGCAAGCATTATAAAGAGAAGCAACCTTAGACACTAATTTAGCTATTGATTATATATATGGTTTCCATAAAAGGTCAGTAGTTAACGATAATCCAAGATTATCATTAATATAAGAATGTTTTTTTAGTTTTTTAAAGTAACTCTGACAAATGCTCACTGGTTTGTTTTAGAATGATCAAAGATGTTAATACTTTGATTTGACATGGAAATCAAAGACTCGGGTTTGCACATTGAACCAAAAATCAATATAAAATTCTTTCTAATATTTTTCGGTTATTGATGATACTTAACTTCAAGAAATATCTTTCAAAAATCCAATAAAGTGTTTAATGCAGCATCAAATGGTTTTAATTTTTTTGACCATATAATAATTACTGTAAATCCTGAAAATGATATCAAAATCTTTAAACCTGTTATCAAAGTTTTGTAAATATTTTGTAATTTTTCCTGGTTGATTCAAATTTATTATATTATATTGAACTGAAGGACCAGAATTAATCACCTTTATTAAAAATATTTTAAAGATCTCTCTGAAAAAAGTTTAATTTTCAAAACTAAATTTAGTCTGAGCGAAATTTCACTTTTTCATGAAGAGACAAATTAATTTATAAATGTTACTTTAATGAGATTTCAAAAATATTTTTAATTTTTTCAATATCTCTTTTAATAGGAAATTGAGGACCTCATTTTTCCTAATTCCAAGAGTTGATATATATATTTTTTTATTGTGCATTAGATAGAGGTGGAGAGGTTAAGGCTATCGCTATTGACATTTTTAAAGCTTTTGATAAAGTATGGCATGCTGATCTTCTCCATAAACTTTTTTATATTACAATATGATAATGGTTGCAATATTACAATTTGATAATGGTTGGAGGCCAACCTCCAACCATTATCATATTGTAATATTGCTTCTCTTTCTTTTTTCTACAAATACTATAACGGGCACTGCTCTAAAGAGCTAGCATCTCTTGTGCCATCTACTAAAACTTTTTTTCATGTTACTTGTCATTCAATTAAGTCTCATCCTTTTTCTGTGACTATTCTTAGGTGTTCCAAAAACTCTTGTTCGTCTAGTTTTACTCTTCGAACATCAGTTCTTTGGAATTAGCTTCCTTTATCTTGCTTTCCTGATTCATATAATTTGCAATCTTTTAAGTTGTCTGTCAATCCTTATCTTGCTCTATAAATTTCATCTTTTCCCTTCCACTAACTTCCAACTCTATTAGTGGTTGCTTGCATCCTTGTTAAAAGCAAAGATGTTGAAAAAAAAATATATATACATACATACATAATTACATACACATACATACATATACATACATACATACATACATACATACATACATACATACATACATACATACATACATACATACATACATACATACTTACATACATATATATACACATACACACACACACACACACACACACACACACACACACACACACACACACACACACACACACACACACACATACACACATGAAGAGTATTTTTTAATGTTTTGAACAGTTTTTGTTCTGTGTTTTAAACTTAGTGTATAGTTGCTAAAAATGTATATAAATATGTGTATACGTGTATGTATGTAAATGTGTGTGTATGAGAGTGATAAATGCTTTGTCATCAATCTTTTTTTTTATAATTCTTTTTTTATGAAGTGAATTTTTGTAATTATTTTGAAATAAGCTTTTGATTAATTATAATACTAAGCTTATAATATTTTGAAAAGAGTTTCATGTGACTTGTTAGCTGCAATGACATTCATCGACTGCATGTGGCTCATGAACTACTATTGGGCCATCCCTAATCTGTACCCTCAGTCATCCCTGATTCACAGAGTATACATGGAGTATAGCGCTTAATTCAAAATAGATATACCATATCTATAGAAGTGACGTTATTAATATAATGTAGCTTAAGGATGATACTCAAATCTGTAATAGTAAAATCTAAAATGCAGGTCTTGACAAAAAAAAAAGAACATTGAATAAAATGAACATTTTTATATAATTATTCTACCATTACCCTCTGTTGGTACTGAGGCCTGTATTTTTTTCTGTATCAATATGGTATGATCATTAAAGTTTCATGAAGACGATTAAACATCGGCAGGATTAGATGTATGTTAAGTAAAGTTTTACTAACATACAATGTACTTCTTTTACAAGTGATAGTAATTGGTTTTTAAAAACAGGTTAATACTGCCGCGAACCTCTCGCTTAGATTCATTAAGTAATTTTTATTTTCAAGTTTTGTTTTATACTTGTTTACGATTTATTTTTATTTATCTAAGTACGATCTAATGTTTCTGCTTGATGTTGCTTCTGACGATAAGATCATTGTGATCTTCTTTTAGAAGCCTTGTTTGTATTTGAGAAATATGTAATTTATATATATTATGTCAAAAAAAAAAAAAAAAAAAAAAAGATGGGTTACTTAAGTATTTTATATAAAAAGATGCATCCTGATCATATTATACATAGCCATGACCAGTTTCATCTTTTACTGAAACTTTGCTAATTTTTTTTGAATTTTCTTTATCGCTTTTGATCAAAATTAATTCGTTTTATTATTATTATTTTTTTTATTTTTTTCAAAAAAAGTTTTGAAAAAAAATAAAAATAATAATTTTCTGCCCATAACCATTCTATTAAAAAACTCTAATAGAAAGGTATCTCTTCCTAAAACGCAATTTAAACTGATAATTGTCGATCCGAAAGAGAAAATCGGATCAGGAAATAAGATTACATTCTATTATATTTTGACTCTTCATTATTTAATTTGCTACAAGTAGTACAACAAATACAAGTAGTGAAATGATCTTAAAAGATCTTACAATCAATCTTACAACAATCAAACCAACAAAATCTTTCAACAAATACGGTCTTAAAATACTTTTAAGATTGTATTTGTAAAAGTTAACTAAACAAGATGCGTTTGCAATAAAATTTTGGGTAACAATTTTGTTTTTGTTTGGTTCGCACTATTAATTTATTAAAATATTTTTTTTTTAGTGTCAAAACCTTGTAGGTTTTTTCTTATTTTCTGGAGCATCGGCATCCGATTCGAAGAAAATTCACACAGAGCTTAATCATTTGTGAGTTACAGTTATGTTAACTAGAGCATTTTTTTTATTTTCAACGTTATGAATACAATTTATTGCATTTAGATTTGGTAAAGCGAGACGTTCGTCTTGTATAACCGTTCTCTCTTATCTTAACTCACTCACAGAAGAAGGACTTAAAAAAGTACCTTACATCTACTTGCGTGATGTGATAAAGTTTGAATCTTACGTTGCATCTTGCAAATCTCAAACTATTCCCTGATTTTATACGCTATTGCAATTGCAGGGTTCTGGTGATTTAGGTTCTGGTGGGGGAAGGGGATGCATATCCCCATCCCAAACCCCCTCCCCTTAGATCCGTCACTGATTACAATCGCAGGTTGTTTGTACATATATCATAATCACTACGATTTTTTTGTACATAATTATAATTAAATAATTTTGTTTTAAAAATTTATAACTTAAATTATGTCTATATACTATTGAAAAAATGGCGAATATTCACTATTAATCCAGATAGTCGCGCGCTGAATTTAGTTAAAACTTAATTTTTTTTTTGTCATGTAATTCAAATTTTCGGATACCAGAAGCTAATTTTTAATAATGCTCAACAAAACATTGTAAATGGTTGTCGAAAAGAAATTTCTTTTATCCTTAGAGATCGTCTAAAGTTTAAATAACAAAAAAGATTAAAAGTTTTCTTTCGCAGAGTCTTTAGTTAAACCAAAAATTAAAATAGTGTTTTAAGTTCAATTAAAACCGCCGCACAAAAAAGCAAATGATTTCACACTTCTACGTTTTTAATAAGTTTAGTGTTAATTTATGGACCCCTAAGGTATCATTACTTTAATGGTGTCACTATTTTCATAAATTTTTAATATAAATATGATCCAAACTTCATGTTAAAGTGACTGGTATTTTTAAAGTCAAATTTAAAAATATTTTTAATGGCTAGGAAATTATATTATTTAATTTATTAGGTGGTAGACTTGATAATTATATGTACATATATATATATATATATATATATATATATATATATATATATATATATATATATAGAGAGAGAGAGAGAGAGAGAGAGAGAGATATGATATAGATCACCTTGCGAATCAGAAATTTTAACATCAAATCGAGTAACCTATATATTCGTAGGTCAAATCTTTAAAATAAAATTTTTTATGTATTTCTAAAAATTTTTAAAACAAAGATGTAACACGCCCGATTGCATTCGGTTGGAGATTTGGAATAACTATTTATTACAAGACATTAATTTATAACTTAGCGCAGTACAGTATTCATTGTTATCACTAAATAGTTTGACAAACATAATGCGTTTAATTTTTATTTGTCCTATTTCTCCCCCCCCCCCCTCCCCCAATAATCAAAAATAACTTTTTTTTTTTAATTACATTAATAAAATTAGTAATCATTTACTTTAGCAATTAAATGTTTCAACGAAATTAGCTCGATTCAAATACATGGAATTTTTAATCGAATTTCGAATCCTTTTGATGATGCGATTTTAAATTTTGAAGAGTCACCCTAATAAAGATACAGTAGCGTGCTAAAGTTTAAAAACGCCTAATTTTTTTTCAGTTTTCCAAAAATAACTTCTCACCAACTTAAAAATCAGTTACGATTTTTACCAAATCTTTTTGTTAATAATAATACAAACCACCAAATTTATAAATTTTAACGGTTTGTTAATTTTTTTTTTTTCTTTTTGTTAAGGCTTCCGTGTAAAAGTTTACAAGCTACTAAATTTTGATAAAAATTTATTTTAAAAATCATTAAAATATCAATTATTCAATATTTGGTCAAATATTCATTTGTCTTTAAAACAGCATCAATTCAACTTTTCATAGTTAAATAAGATAGATGCTATTTTAAAATCAAGTTTGAACATAAATATAAGAATGTGATAAAAACGTTAAAATACGTTTTGTGGGCTAGATTAGGGTAATATGAGCGCACTTAAAGATTTCTTAGATGTAAGCAGTAAATTTAAAGGTGCTTTATATTTTTTGAATCAACTTTATGTGGTGATCACTGGAATCAGTATAATTAGCGTATTATAAATAGCATTTATATGCATTAATTAGCGGGTATCATCTAATTAAAACGCTATTGAATTTTTTGCTTTGTTAATATCATCACCGCCACAGATTTATAATCACGCATGAATAAATTTGTGGCGCCAAATTTCGGAGCTAAATAAAATTTATTTTTTCATAAAGAAAAATACGTTGGCTAGAAAATCAATCCATTTATGTTTGATAAACAATGCATAGAAACATTTAGTTTTGACTTTATTTAAAGATGCCATTTTTGTGTGATATGACCATGCTCAAATTACCCAGTGTATTTCATTGAAGTCATCTAGTTTAAAGTCATATTGCAGTAGTTTTAATTGATTTTTATATAAAAACAAAACATAGTAAAAAATTAACATTTCAACAATACTAAATATTTTGCTTGTAATTTTTCTTTATTTTTCTGTAATTTTTTTTTTTCAAACTTAGAACAAAAAAACTTCAAATTTTTTGAATTTAAATTACAGAAAAATATTTAGTATTGTTGAAATATTATATATATAACCTTTGAATCAAAGGTTTGAGTTAACAAAATTGAAAAAATAACGAACTAATTTTTTTTTTTAGAAAAATAAGTAGTATTGTTTCAATAAAAAGTGGTATAAAATTTGATCATTTCATTATAAGTTTTATTAATCACGAATCATTATATTCCAAAAATTAGTTCTAATTGTCAGGTTGGTATTTCTTAATTTAATTTATGTTATTTTTTTGAGCTAATTTAAACTGCTCACATTTCTAAGTGGTCTGGGTAATATAAGCACTTTTGCTACTTTTTTAAAACCTCTATGTTTTTAAGAAAAAATTTCGGGTGCTCAAATATCTAAGTGAACCATAAGTTGAGATCCCTAAAAATTGTTTATTCGCAAAAATTTTGGATCCAGCATAATTATTTATGAAAATATTCCAATTTTCGCTTAAAGTGCTCATATTACCCTAATCTACTCTATTTTGAGTTTATTAAAAAAAAAAATCGTGTTTAAGAAGTGACTTATATTCATATACCGTGTATTTGCTTATATTCATACACCGTGACTTATATTCATACACCGTGTATTCGCTTAAAGTGCTCATATTACCCTAATCTACTCTATTTTGAGTTAATTAAAAAAAAAAATCGTGTTTAAGAAGTGACTTATATTCATACATCGTGTATTTGTTTAATTAGCAGCTTATTATTTTTAGATTATTTTTAGACAAATGACCAGGTTTATATCCCAATTATCTATTGTAAAGAATATTATTAACATTAAGAAAGAATCAAGTCATAAAACGCTTTAAAATCTTGAAAAAACAGGATCGGTCTGTAGTTGGAAACATCAGAAGGATCAGCTGTTATAAAAATTTGTTAAACCTTCGTATTTTTTGGTTTTCAGGAAAAACTCCATGTTTCCGAGATAAATCAAAAATACGTAAAAGTGATATTGTTATACATTTCATTTGTTTAATAATGACGTTACTGCTGACATCACCTAAACCTCAACTTTTTCTTAGGTTTACAAAATTACTGTTTTTTAATAATAGTTTCTTCATAGTTCATGATTAGGCATAACAACATTATTAGATGTCAAGTAAGATTTAAAGTTTGTTTGATATTCAATTTTTGCGGCTTAATTTTTACCAACATTAACCAAAAAAGTTATAGTTAAAGGCTTATTAAGTTAGTTTCATTTTCTAATGTTTTTTTTTAAAGATATTTGCAGTATAATTGTTATTAATTTTTTAACAACATGTATAATTTTTTGAAGATTTTAAGATTCCTTTTGTTATTAAAGGGGTTAAAAGAGTTTTACTTTTATTGATTTTGAAACTTTGGAAAAGGTTTTATTATGCTTAAGAAATATAGTTTAAAAAGTTAATACTGGAAATACAGATAAAGCCTATAATCTAAATACAGATAAAGCCTATAATAAGGCTTTATCTGTATTTAGATTTATTAGTGCTTCGTCTTATCTTTAAGTGACATAATATTATGAAAAGATTTATTGGAGGTATCGTTTATTAGTCGTGTTGTTACTTGAGATTCAAACTTATTGCATTTATTTGATAGAATAAAAATCTGAAAGTGATTCGAAATCTTTTAATATTCCAGTTTTTATAATCTTTTTTTTCACTTAACTAGAACCTTTCATCAAGAAACTTGTCCACAAGTTTGATTTTTATTTCTTACTTCATCGATCTTTTCGCGTAGTGCTGTTTCTGTAATAACGCTCTGTTTTTGAGGCGCAGGTAATAAGGTTGGGGGTTAAAGTCATCTTCAGGGAAACTTTTTTGTGTAAATTTCAATGTTTTATATTTAGGAAGTAATTATTTGTACGCTTGTAGAAATAATGTTATCATTACATTGTCGCTCACATTATTTGTACCCTCGTATTTGTAAAATAATGTTTACATAAGATTCATTTCAAAAAAATGACAACTTTGAGCATCTGTGGAGAAGCGCCAAATAATCTAAAAAGAAAAATCCTTTCAGAATATAAAAGTATGACCATTTGCAAGTCTTGGGTAATCAAAACCTTTAATATCGGATTTTCGCAAATCTGAAATTAATGCCACTTTTTGATTATTTCAAACCACTGTGCATAGTTAAGACACTGATAAGTAAAAAATAATATATAGCCAAAGCATATCACTTTTTTTGCATTAGATCTAATGCAAAAAAAGAACTATAGAACGGAAAATAATTTTTTTAATTTAACAGTTTGTTAAACTAATTAAATTAACAGGTCTGCACAAGATTCATTTCAAAACAGAAATGTCAATCTTTAGTTTACTATTAGATATAAATTTTATTTAAAGTTTATTTTCCGCTTTTTAGTAAAAAAAAATATTACTTTTTGGCAAATCTTTTTACTGTTTTTTTTGTTGTTGTAATAAATTCATTGGTAAAAATTTGATTTAATGATGCTTTACGAGTAAATTACGTGGCTTTATTTTATCTAATTACTTTTGAAAAATCAAGCATTTTATTTCGAAGATCAAACATTTTGATTTTTCTCTGGACTGAAGTTAACTCTCATTCAACAAGCTTAAAGAAAACACAGCCTCTTAATGATATATTTTTGAACGTTTTAATTTGATGCATTATTCTTTTGTTTTAGATGCCCCAAGAAGTCCTTCCGGTCTTACCTTATTCTTACCGTGGAAAAGAATTTGAAATGAAGATCACGTCTCCATCATTATCGATGTTATAAAACTTGCCCAGAACCGCAGATCTCTAGCTTTTGAGACGAGCGCGCTAACCACTGCGCTACGGCTGCTCTTTTAGCGTATTTATTACTATTATGCATCGAAACTTTTTTTCGAAAAGTTTTTAACAATTGAGATAAAATATAGTAACTTTTGAGTAATAAAATAACTAAATAAAAAATCAATTCAATTAAAAGAATAATTATTATAAATTTTCAATCGCAAAAGATGACCTATAAAATAAACTACATTTTAAAAAATCTAATAACATATAAAATTATTTATAGATAAGTTGAACTTTAATAAATTACATAAAAAAAAAAAAAAAAAAAAAAAACTGAAAGTTAAATTTTTTAAAAACAAAACAGTAACAATCATCAGTTGGAAGTTTAAATATGTAAGAGATGATCTTAAAAATCAGCACTTAAAAACATTAACAAACTCATTATTTTGTATTAGCAAATCCAACTCGATTGTTTTTTAGATCAAAAACTGTATAGTAAGGACCAATAAAAACATCTCCAAGGATCCATAAAGGTCCTCTAGGAGGAGGAACATCTATGGCAATAAATCCACTGATACATTCTGTTTGTCCTAATGTCGAAACCTTGAAATAAAATGAAATTTAAAATAATAAATAAAACTTATAATCGGCTTCTGATAATTTTAAAAATAAACACAAAAAAAAAACAAAAACAAAGTTACCTTTAAAACGTAGTCAGAACCCTTAAGTACAAATTGCTTTCCACCAATCCAAAACTCAAGTGCAGGCAGAGACGGAACTTTAGCACAATCAATTATATATTCCCCTCCAACTATAGGTGTAGCACCAATCATCTGATTAAGCTTGTTCACTTCCTCTGTTGGACCAGCAATCAGAGACGTACCAGTATCAGCAATAGCATTACAACCAGAAGCACAAAACATAGGCTCACCATTAACTACAACCCTAAATTTATAATTACAATTACAATTATAAAATAATTAAATATAAATAAATTAAATAAACTTTTAACACAAAAAAATATTTATAAATAAAATGAAATATTTTATTACAAATGGTCATTGTTATTATTTTGTTTTTTTATAATTTTGAACAAAAGAATTATTAAGAAGTTGCTATTACTAAAACCATACTTATCCATTTTAAATTGCCAATAGCCTTCAACAGTAACTGGTGTGTATGTAATATCTCCTACAAACTTTGACGAATCTACTCCTCCTAATAAAAGTTCTCCACCAGTAGAATCATTAACATTCCTAAAAAATGTTTTTTTATTATTCAGAATAAAAAAACTAAATACACAAAACTAAAAACTAAATACACAAAAAACTAAATACACAAAAAAAACTAAATACACAAAATAAATATAATTAAAATAATTTAAAATACAAGTATAATTAAATTAAAAAACTTAATTTCTAACTATAAGTGACTTTAAAACAAATTAATTAAAAAAAGTATTAAAATGATTTCGGAATAAATATATATTTTTTAAACCTATCGAGATAAAAAGAAAATACAGCATCTTCCACAAGCTTTTGATCAACCATATTATAGAATGGTGGAACAACACCATTTACAGATATTTGACTGTAACCCATTCCTAACAATCCATCAAACTTAGCAGCAACAAAAGCAATACCAGGCTCGGAGGTTGCTTCTCCAAACATTTGATTTTTTACAGAAATGTCTGCAACCTACAAAAATTAATGTTATATATGAGCTATTAAGGTCATATATGATCTTATTTAAAAAACATTGCATAAGACTGATTACTTATTGTGAAATCTGGAAATAATTTAATTTTTCAAACTCTAACTTTATTAAAAACTGTGAACAGTTTTAATAAAAGGGTCAATTTATCATATTGCAAAAATTAATGAAAAAACTAAACAATAAATTGATGATTGCAAAAATAATAACTGTCAAAACTACCTAAAATTTTCATAATCTTCTTTTCCGAAAACTTTTACCATTCTGACAATTTAATAACATTGTCATAAAAAAAATAAAATCTTTATTCTTTAATTTCATTTTAGAATATTTGTACTTTATTATTTATTTACACAATTTTAAATCAGCAAAAAATTCTTTTGAATATTCATTTAACATGCGGATGATTTTGATGTTATATTAATAATTTAAAATCAACCAATAAAAAATTATACTAAATCTAATTTGCACATTGTACAAAACAATTAAATCTGATTTTTGTTGAGGGAAACTTTAAAGAATTATTTAAAAATTTAAATGTTCTGAGTCACACATTAATTAATTAATAATAATGATAAAAAGATGTAGTTAAAATATGTAGTTAAAGTTTTTAAATAACTATAAGTGATATAAATTAGTTTTTATATTTTTGAACTCCTTTCTTGATTTATACCTAAAATATCTGAGTTAGAGAGTTACAAGCATTTAATTGAAAATTATATTTAATCTATAAAAAATTATTGAAAATAAGATTTAAGAAACAAATGTAGTTGCTATCTTTTTTTTTAAAGATAATTAAACACTGCTACACTGTTGTGATTTACGGATATTTCATTTTTAATATATCACATTGCACAGTATACTTTATTTTTCTTGTCTTATCTGAAGATTTATGAAAAAAAATTGAAATATTCAAGTTTAAATCATTTTTTAATAATAATAATAAAATCAAATTTTAGTAACAATAATAAAAATCATAATCATCATAATAATAATAACAAAAATCATAATAGTAAAATAACAAAAATAATAATAATATGGTTTTATAACAAGATTTCAAATTTCAAGATGATATTTTTTATTGAATAACAACTATCGAGTTTTGAGATTAAAAATTTACAGTTTTTAAAAAATTCAAAATTTAAAGTGCACAATTACTGCAATTTGCAACCACACAATTTTCTCTTTGAAAAGTATAAATATTACAAGTAAAAAATTTGTTAAATTTGAAAAACAATATTTTTTCAAGGAAAAAAAATCACTTTTTTAGTATCAAGGGTATTTTTATGGACATGTTATGAACAATGTTATGAGAAAGGGTCTCTGAGTAATGGCAAAATAAGTTAGTTTTTTTGGTGGACCAATCAAAATGTCAACAAGAGACATAATATTAAAACATAATACGAGACAAACAATTTAAATGTTCATCTCTTTTTCTAAAAAATAATAAACATTGAAATCTTTTGTTGATGGTGTGAAAAACTTTTTTAGGAAAATATAAACAGAAACCTAAACTTTGCTTAAAAATTTGTTTCATTGCAGCAACATTAAAATTGAGTTTGTTTTTTTTCAATAACTTTCTTAATAACTAACCTTAACCACAGTGTTTTTAAAGTTAAAAAAAGTTAACCACAGTGGTTTTAAAAAGTATTGCAAAAATAATCTTATTATGGAGGAGATAAATAAAAACAAAAAAAAATGTTTGCACATTGCACAATAGTAATTTTATTAATGACAAAATTATCTAAAAACCTGCAGAGTATCAATACTTTGGTATCCAGAACAACTTCCACTACCATATTGAATGGAAAATTTTGTACCATTCTGAACATATGTACTTGATTTATCTCCATGATATTTGTTGTGAGTTACTAAAAGTTAAATTCGAAAATGATAAAACTGCATAAAATAAACTGTATATAACTAAACAAAATTAAAATGTGTAAATCTGTGTAAAATCAACAAAAAAACACATACAGCATGCAATATCAGTCCAGCCACAATGCGATGAAGGAACCCACAAATTTGATGATCCAGTATCGAAGACAACTTTAAATGGCTGAGGAGGAGTGCCAAGTGAAATATCACCATAGTATTGTGCCTAATATAACGAATAAAAGATTCACTAGCACGAAATCAAATTTAACTCATTTTTGTTGAAAAAAATAAATAAAGTTTATTATACATCTAAATAAAGTTAAATTAATACATCCATATAGTTTCGAAGAACTTCTGGTGATTCTCCCCATTTTGATTGAAAACCAAGTTTTTGAAAATCAAAACCTTGCTCTCGTAGAGTGCGCCTGACAGTTGTTTCAAGTTTTTTAATTTTTATTCTAAGATAAAATATAAAGGTAATAATCCAAGATATTCTAAGATAAAATATAAAGGTAGTTAGGATATAGTAAGGCAAAATCAAGGAAATATATTTATTATGGCAAATAAAAATTTTAGTTTCTTTAATATTTTTTTTTGCATCTGATGTTTATTAAATTTCAAATGCAAGCATTTTATTACTTTGGAATTTTAAAACAACCCTCAGCACTTAACAGTATTCTTAAACTTTTATTTTGAGAAATTGACCACTGTTTTTGGCAGGTTTTGAGAATTTAATTTTAAAAACACCAGGAAAACCAAACTAAATTAAAAAAAAAATTAGGAAATAAACAACAACCCTAAACTTAAAAAAAAAGAAAAAAAGAAATCTTAATGAATAAGAATTCAAATAACAGATTAAAAAAAAAATAAAACTAAAAAATAATATAATATACATTATAAAAATAATAAAATATTTTTATAATTTTAATTATAAAAATATTTCAAGTGTTTCACTTTTAGCAGATTTTAGTTTTTTTAAAAAGTTCAAAGTTCAAAAAAAACTTCAAAACTTTGATCTTTTCTAAAGTCTATTAAATTCATAGCTCTTATATGCATAAATAAACTAAAAGAAAAAAAAAAAAAAGTTTAAAAAAAAAGAGGTTTAGAACATGCAACTGACAGCTTTGTCTAAAACCTCACCTGACAGCTACGTCTAAAATGCTGAACCTTGTAACATCGAGAACAATATGCTATCATAGTTGATATGTTAAAAGTTAAAAGATTTATACTTTTTTTGCATATAAAATTGCAAAATGTGCAATTGCAAGCATTTCCTGTAAAAGTTTGCCTTGAGTTGTCAGTTTTCTTTTTAGATTTATGCTTCCAGATGTACTATCCGAAAGCTACTTTCATATATTACATACATTAAGCTGTCCACAGTACATGATGGATGGCTTGGGCAATATAATTTTCAAAAATGTGGTTATAGGACTAATATTAATTACTGAAACCAGGCTCAGGTGGATTACGAAAATCTAGTGGTCCATCTTATGGTGAACATATCTGGAATCATCTAAAAGAGATGACTATTATTTATATCAATTGTCTAATAAAGAGTGACTATTATTTATGTAAATTATCAGTTTAAGAGATCATTGCCCTTCATTTGTTAAAATTTAAACTTGCTCTGTTTATTAGAATATACAAACTTTTTGGATAGTTAAAAAATTATTTTTTGGTCATCGCTTATTATCTTCATTTGAAGTATTTATTGATTTTGGATTTTTTGATGTTTCAAATGCCAATTGAAGAGCTGAGACAAAAAGAACTCTGTGATTTTGTCACAATCTTTACAATCAATTTTTCAAACTGCTCGACTTGTATAAGAAATTTTTAGAGTTTGATTTAAGCAAATGAAAACACGTATAAAATCAAAATTTTGTAAAATTTAATTTAACAGTCAATTATTTAAAAGTATCATTAAAACAATACGTGTTTCAGATGTTTAATGACCATTGGAAGCAATTTTTAGCTTTAACAAAAGCTACTTCTATTAAACAAACACAAATAAAACATCAATATATGATCAGTTTAACATCATAACTAGGATGTTATGCGTTATCAATTATTATTAGCTAAACAGCAATATAGGATAAGTTTAACATTATAACCAAGATGTTATATATTATTAATTGGATTTATAAACATTTAAAGCCAATATCAGTTCAAATCTTTTAGGAAAAGATTTATTCAAATTGTATTTATACTGGTTTTGAATAATTGAATCTTTTAATAAAAGATTTATTCAAATGAATCTTTTACTCTGTTGTAGTCAAAGATTTAATTGTTACTCCAACATTGTTTCCAACATGTTGGAGTAAAAGATTTAGTAGCTAGCCATTCCAGAGGATTTTTTTATCTACATAACCATGATAAACATGGTTGCATAAAGCTTAGAAAGATTTGAAAACAGAAGGCTCTTTTAACATTAGAGGTTAGGTGGATCCAATATTAGCATATTTTTTGTGCTGGAAAAACTGAAGGTGTTTTTACCAAAACACCTAATATTTTTGTATGAAAAATTGGCTGTGTAATAGCCCCAAAATAAAATAAGAAAACATCAAAAATTAAAACAAATAACACATGAAGGAAAGTAAAATATACATAACTTCTAAACAAAAATCCTAAATACCATTTCTTCAAAAAAACATAAATAAATACTTGGTTTGAATAGAAGAAAGATTATACTTGCTCATTTTAAAGGGAACCTTTTTTAAAAAAGTGTTCTTTTGACAAACTGTCCTTAAAGTTCCCCATTCCATTAGATTTCTTATCCATTTTTTAATCTATATGGAAAATTTCAAACAAATTTGATGTGTTTTGGTACTTAGTAATCCTTACCTTCAAAAACTTCTTTTGAAAAAATATTCCCGCTGCAAGTTTTTTTTTTTTTAATAAACATTTTTTTTTAAACAAGTTTTTTTTTTTTTTATAAACAGACAATGAATAATATATAGGTTAAGCTAAACTTTAATACTTATTACTTTTTACATATGGTTGGAAAAAGGAAAAATATTAGGAGCTACTAATAATGTTTACAAATTGGAATTATCAGATAAATGATTTGACGTTCAATTACCAGATAAAAAAAAAAATAGATATTCACCTGTGAATTTCTGAGAAAATCAGGGATGCACATAACAGCAGGATCGTCAGAGATAGGGTTCTCATTTTATAAGTTACTTATGAGGTCCAATGTTAATGATTATAAACAAAACAACCAACTCTACTTCTCTTCACTTATGATGCAGTGCTTAAGTTGTCTATAATTCTATAATTTAAAAAAATAGAGATCAAATTAACTTTATTATTTTGCGCTAAATTGTTATCTGGTTTACACATTTTTTAATCATGTGATTTTCACAAGAATTCGCTTTAAAAAGTCATAGTTTAAAGGACTTTGTAAAAACAGCCTTTAAACAACGATAGTTTTTTCAACTTTAATTTTTAAGTACTTAAATATTGGTAATAACTTCTCAATATACAGTATAGTGTAAACCCATTATCATTTATATGTTATAAGTTAAATTTTAAATTAACCGAAACAAACTAACATAAAACTTCTAATAAAAAAAATAAAAGCAATACCCACTATTAGTTCCTAATAGTCTAAAGAATTAAAAATGGTTTCCAGCAGCTCACGGACATTTTTAGGCAGTTAACTTTTATAATTCTTTACCATGCGTTAAACAAATGCGGATTCAACCTAAATACCGATATAATAAATAAATAACTATACATACTATATATAAAAAGTTTATACATTTATGCTTAATCTTAAATTATTAGTTTTATCAGTATATGTGGCTTGTTTATTACATAATAAACATTTAAGATAATAAATTTCATTTTAAAAAGATGTTTCAAACTCAGCTAATTCTTGATAATAAAGTTTTTTTAATATTTGCACCTAATATTTTTGCATTTAAATAATCTAAATTTTTTTTGCTTACTTTAATATTTGAAGAAGTAAGTCTCCTAAGTAAATTTAGGAGCTAATTAAAAGCCAATACTGGATATTATCTGGTTATACTTCCCTAGGAAAGGGCCCTGAAGGCACTTTAAAAACTTTCTCAATACCTTTATAAGCAAATTTTTTTTTTTTGGTTTATGGATAGTAGTATTTATATATATATATACATTTATAATTATAACAGATATACAGCCATTGTATAACAATATATATATATATATATATATATATATACATATATATATATATATATATATATATATATATATATATATATATATATATATATATATATATATATATATATATATATATATATATATATATATATATATATATATATATTGCTACACAATGGCTTTATATCCGAAGATAATGTTGGCTTAGCATCGGAATAGCCACAAATAGTCATTAACACTAGTTCAAAGTAGCGCCATTGACCAACATTTAAACGAACCGAAGTACAACTCAAGCGCTGAGTTGGGGGTGACTGAATTTGAACCTATATTGATTGACAGTACGTATTTTTAACATTTTACTTGAAATGCTCTAACCAGCTGAGGCTCAGCTGGTTGTGTCTGGATAGCTCAACTGTTGAGTTATCCAGCCACAAGAAGAAAAAAACATAACAGCATTTACACGATTACTAACCTCATTTCGACATTGTTTTACATAATTTTGAAATTGTATCATTCAATTTTAACATTGTAGCTTACCATTTTGACAATTTATAAAACTATATTTTAATTTAAAATTTTCAAATAAATGATGAAATTTTTGTTAAATAATAATGGGTTGAATTTAATCGGACCATAATATAAATATTTTGTAATATCCTAATAATGAATTGTCATCAAACTATAAATTAATGCCATAGTTTTTTTTTATCAAGAAAACAAAAGTATCTTTTTATCCAAAATATTTGTTTCTTTAATACAATTAGAATTTATAGTAAAATTTTAAATATCATTTTCAATATTTACAAATCATACAATCAAAAATGAAAACTGTTCAAAGTTAATTGAAAATAATTCTCTCTGTTATGTAATAAGCAAAATTATAATTTTGAAATATAAAGCACAAACAAGAACAATTAATACAGAAACACTTTTATATTTTATTTGTCTATTATTAGCACAATTAGCTGTTAATGAAAATGTTAGAGCTATTTTAATTTTAAACAATGTTCTTTTTCATAAAGCTCCTGTTTTTCAAGATAAAATGAACATTTCTTTATGTTTTTACCTCCATATTCTCTCTTTTTAAATCCTATTAAAAATATGTTTTTTTAATGGAAACATTTCATAAGATGATGTTTGTTTAAAACTGAAGGAAAACTACTTGAAAATATACAAAATGGTGTCTTGAATATTACTAGCACAAATTGCAATAATTATTTAGGGCAAATGTTAAAGATATATGATTCCGTGTTCAAGAAGAGAATGATGAATAAACATCTGTTATTTTTTATTACGCAATTATTTGTAATTATAATATTTTTGATGATTTTTTGATTAAAGATTAGTTTAACAAAAAATTTATATTATTGTAAGTAATTTAGGAAGAATCTAACTCTTTTCCTTTATATTAATTAACCCCTGGTGACAAAAATTTGGTACAATCTTTTAAAAGTAAAAACTTATTAAAGTTTCAGTTACATTTTTTTTTTTTTACTTTTTAATTTTATTTAGGTGTCCTAAAAAGTTTTTACGGTCTTATTACAAAGCACCGCGGATGAGCATTTGATCGAAAGTTCACGCCTCCTTCTCAACCGATGTCGCAAAACTTGCCCAGAGTTGGGATTTGAACCAAGAATCTTTTATTTCTGAGGCAAGTGCGCTACCACTGCGCCACGGCTGCTCAAGTTACCCAGTTTTAATTTTTTAGTTGTTTTGTTTATAAAATGTTAGTTATCTCATACTGAAAGTTTTGTTTACTTATATTAAGTAATACAAGAGTTATCCCAAAATGTACAACTATTGTACGCAAAAACGAAGAATATTGTAGAGCCTCTAATCAACCAGAAGCAACCACCAAACGTTATATGGCTAAGTGGAAGAACAATGAGCCAAAGTCTTGTGAACCTAGATCAGACAGAAAACCAAAAATTATGACTGCTAAGAATATAAATCGCCTGAAGATCTCTTCAACAACCGGTCTGGAACTTCAACAAGAAAAATTGCAAAGAAATTTAAGTGTGATTATTGTAAAATCATTAAAAAACAAAAAAAATTTTTTTTTGTCATTTTAAGATAAAACAAATCCCTGATCACATTGATAAATAGTAAAAACAGTTGCAGCTGATGTGTGGAAAAACTTGTCGCAAACTCATATGTCTGAATATAACTTCGAAGCCTTAATTTGTCTTTGATGATTAGTCTTATGATACAAAAACAAATTTGAAAAAAACATTCTTCTGAGTCCATTTATTGCTCCTGTGAGACTGGCATAATTAACCAAAATGATTAAATCATTAAAAGATTTATTACTTTTATCAATAAACACCACAATTTTTTTTTGGCCTCACATGGCTTCTTTACACAATGCTAGAAGTGTGACGAATTACCTTGATGATTAAAATATCCGTTATGTGACAAAACTGATAATCTGGCATGTGTCCCAGAATTATGACCTATAGAGGATTTCTGGTCAACCCTTATATGCTACGTGTATGAAGTTAATTGGGAAGCTGAAAATGAAGATCAGCTGCAAAAAAGAATTCATTCTTGTTTAAGAAAGGTTGATAAAAAATCTAGTACAAGGCATGTGGGGAACTATCATTTTCCAGTCTGCAATGACTCAATCACAACTAAATATCACCATGGAAAAGAATATCCATAAATCTGTTTAAGATACTATTGCATACTAACTATTTTTTAAATGAATGTGTGCTGGCAAAAGATGACAACAATTTTTCATGTAGTCATTGCGTTAAAAATCATGTTGTATAAAAGGTATTCATAATAAAACAAACATGTTACTTTTTATAATCCTTTAAAAACAGACTCGGATATGCTTAGGTAAAATGTCAAAGGAGGCTTTAAAATATGCTTACGTATAAACATACTTTTTATACGATATGCTTGTTTTCATACTTTTCTTTTTCTGTTCTAATATAGAAGTTTTGCTGCGCAGGGACTTTACAGAACTGAATGATCTTTGGTTTCATTTGTTTAAATGGTTTAAATTAAAAATACAAATTTAAATGGTTTCCATACATAAAATATGCATTATCAACCAAAATTTGAAATATATTTTATCATGAAAATGTTAATGCAACAGTTTAATGCAACAGAGCAGACTTCAGGTACGTTGCAACCGAAAGCATTATCCATAACTGAAGCTATAAAGAGTGCGACAGTCACCAAACAGTATTTGCAAAGATTAAGAGATATATTGTTTGATCAGTTTTACAAGGAAGTAAAATCTGAAACTGATGATTTGGAAGCAAGTGAGCCATCAATTCCACGGACAATTTCGTGAAATTGAGCCATCAATTCCACGAAAACAACCACTGTGGTTAGGTTCTGTCTCAGGACCTCATATTTTTACAGATGTTTCTGATTATTTCAGACAAAGGTTTTATGAAGTCATTAAACTCTTGGTTGGTGAACTTGACTTAAGGTTTCAGCAGCAATCTGTTAAAAAACGTCATTAATATGGAAACGCTTTTATAGAATTCGGCAAACTTAGAGTCAGAAACTATCGAGATAGATCCATCACTATCAAAAATGTACCCTGACATCGACTGGACAAGATTAACATGGTAACTTCACATGCTACCTGAACTAATTAAACAGAGCAAAAGCAACAAAGTAAAGTCAATTACTAAGATAACCACCATCTCAAACCTAATTGAAACATTTTTCAAAAAAGATGAATCTAAGATTTTTGATGAAGTGTCTAAAGTTCTGAGAGTCTTTCTTACTATACCGGTCAGTATAGCAACAACAGAAAGATCATTTTCCAGTCTAAGGAGGTTAAAAACATATCTCCGTTCTACTATGAATCAAAAAAGAATAAACAGCAAAATTGTGAATCATATTCATAAAGATATTTTGGAAAAAGGTGACATCAACGCTATTTATAAAGAATTTGTGCTGGCAAATAATGAGCGTCAACGATATTTTGGAAAACCATAGAGATTGTTTCACGTTTTACGTACTTATCAAATTATGTTATATTAAATGTATTACTTTTAATTATGTTATTGTAATATTGAATTATGTTGTGTTTAGTTTATTACATTATTAATATAAAACTGTCTTAACAATTATCAAAGTTTTTATTGAAGCTATTAAACATTTGTTAAAGGTAAAGTATATGAACCACTAGAAGCGCCAAGAGTAATCACGTTGCGTATGATAAATAATTGAAAAAATAGATCATTTTTATCTGTTTTGCTGTATTATACGAAATTCAGGAACTTTTTTCTTTTTAACATATGTTTCAGCCCCCTCCCCCTCCCCCTACATTTTGCGATCTTCCTACGCCACTGTATATATATATTATATATATATATATATATATATATATATATATATATATATATATATATATATATATATATATATATATATATATATATATATATATATATATATATATATATATATATATATATATATATATATAAATATATATATATATATATAAATTTATTATTATTACTTTTAGGTGCCCAAGAAGACCTAACGGTCTTGTCACAGAGCACCGCGAAAGTGTATTTAACCAGGAAGTTCATGCCTCCTTCCTTACCGTGACGCGAAAATATGTCCAGAGCTCGTTTCGAACATGGATCTCCTGCTTATAAAGCAGGCGCTCTAACCACTGCACCACCATATATAGGCCCGTAGCAACCGGGTAGGCAGCAGATGCATATGCATCCCAATAATTTTTTAATAATTTCAAATAAAAAATTCTCCCCCCTCCCTAATATAAATTTCGTTCCTTCGGCCCTGATATATATATATATATATATATATATATATATATATATATATATATATATATATATATATATATATATATATATATATATATATATATATATAAATTTAAATTTAGCTTTCCTTAAGTATTAAAATAAAAACAAATATAAAATTTCTATCGATTAATTTGCCATTTATTATCATATCTAGTTTGGTATAACTAATTTTGACGTTTTCTATACTTTAACCGATATTGTTTTTTCCACTTATTCCTATAAGAACAGTTAAAAGTTAAAAACACTGTTAAACAGTTAAAACCCTGATGGATATTGTACACAGATACATCCAAGACTTGTCCGTGGACTTGGTTTCCGTGACGGAAAAGTCACGAAAAAAAAAGACTCAAATTAATTGATCGGTGCGTATAATAATAATACAAGTGTTATTTTCTAAGAAAAGTTTTAGAAAAATGGCTAATGACCATATCCTATCATCGTTTAATCCTCTTTCAAAGATCCAGACTTTTATGAAAAAAACTACTAAAGTTCAGGTAGCGTGTATACCTGTTGCATTTGATCAATAAAGACATTAGTTTATTTACAAATTTATTTTAGTGACTATGACTTTAATATTTTAATTTTTTTAAAACACTTTTTGAAAATTTTCTTTTTATTCAATTGTCACAAATTATTTAAACATTTTAAAACAACAAAAATACATTCAAAAATCCCATTCCTAAAAATTTTATGTTTCTCTTTAATATAATTTCGAAGCCTTAATTAACAATAATTAACAATAATCTAGATCATTCAAATATATTCCAATCAAATATATTTCATATAGTTTCAATATAAATAAATTATGCAATATGTATTTCAACATCTTTAGTTTACACCTTAGATAAAGGTGCATTTTATTCATGCTGAAATAAATACTAAATAATTTATTTATATTAAAGTTATATGATGTATATTCGATTGGGATAATTTTTAAAAGTCTCATTTATCATCAGTTATTAATGAATTGCTGTTGGGTTTTGCTGTTTTAGTTTGGAGTTGCTAGTGAACTAAATGCTTATTAATAGATGCATTTAATTTGAACCTGAGCTTAGTTTTATAGGAGAAAAAGTCTCATTTTCGGTCTTTTGAAGTTAGTTTAATGTTGATGAAGCTTATTTATTTGGTGTAAAAAATATATAAATTTTATTATTAAAAGTTTCAAAATAAAAAAAAAAAAAAAAAAAAAACTAAAAAAAAAAATAAAACAAAAAAAAAACTTACAGTAATTGAAAACAAATGAACAAACAAAAATAACTATTTTTTGAACCTCCATGTTGATGGGAAACTTCCTATGTTTCTATTCAATCTTATATAACTAATTTTGACGTTATTTATACTCTAACCGATATTGTTTTTTCCACTTATTCCTATAAGAACAGTTAAAAGTTAAAAACACTGTTAAACATATAAAACTCATCTATTGAAAATTTTCTTTTTTTTTTATTTAGAAAAATTTTTCAGGACAAGTTAATTCTAGAATACCACAAAAAGCAATATGCAGTAAATATGTCAATAAATGCCATTCAAATTAAATTACTCCTATGAATATTTATTTATTAAGTCTTATTTTTTTGTTACTTATTAAAAAACTCTAAAATATGAAAATATTTTTATTCTGCATTATAAAAGGGGTTGATTAAGTTAACTAGTCAACAAGGTTTGCAGTTCAAAGTAAATATGATCTGGCTTTGAATTTATTGGCTAAAAAATTTGTAAATATTTGGAGTATATTCCATTACTTAGTGGTTCCATACTTAATGGTAAAGCTACAGTTAAGCAACCTCTTAAAACTTTATTTTTTTGCTTTTGCTCTCTTGTCAGTTATTGGAATAATAAAAGAAAAAAGATTGCTGCTCTATGCCAAGCCCTCAGCCAATCTAGCAACACACTCTTGCAGCAGCAGGCTATAAGGTAGTTGATGTTTATACTGAAACCAATAAATATTTCTTAAGTCTTCATTGACAAGAGGGCAACAAGCAAAAAAAATAAAATTATTTTAGGCTGCTAAGTTTTACCTTTATTATAACTAGTTACTATTAAGTAAGCGCTATGATAGTGCAGAGTAAAAAATTAAATAAATTTAAATTCATAATAAAAAAAAGTGCTTTATCCAGTGTATGATATATCTAGCTCTATTTTAAAAATCCACAAGTTTATAACAGCATTAGTATTTAATAAAATTCTCTACAGATATTGTAAACAACTGGGGCCCTGGCCCCAGCTAAAAATGGTATTTTTTTCAAATCTGGCCCCGGCAAAATTGTAAATTAAGCAAGGGTTGATAACCAGGGCTAGAAATAAATTTGTAATTCTTTATATGTTATAATTTTATACTTACATTTACTATTTATTATTAAGTTCTGGCATATATATATGCGAGTATTTAATAAATATTGACAGATGCAGTAAAAGGATGCAACTTGTTGAATAAGAAGCCAAGCAAGAATGAGTTTTGTAATAGAGATAATAGCTCAAGTTTATTTTAATAGAGATGATAGCTCGTTTTGCATTGACCATGATTAGAGAAACAGTATAAAAGAGGAAGGCTAAAGCTTGCTGCTGCTGCTGCTGCTGCTGATGATGATGATGATGATGATGATGATGATGATGATGATGATGATGATGGTGATGATGATGATGATGTTGATGATGATAATGATGATGGCAATGATGATGATGATGATAATGATGATAATGACAATTAAAATGATAATGATGATGATGATCATGTGGATCATAATCATGTTTATAAATGCATATATATACAAAATTAAACATAAATTAAAAAAAAAAAAGTACTTTAGGATGTATAAATGTTTATGCAGCTCCGGTCACAAATCTGGCCCTGGCTATATTGTATCAAACCCGGCCCCGGCCCCGGTCAACTCCGGCCATTTATTATACAAATAATTTAAAAGCTATTTATTCTAGTTATAGAATTGTTAAATTTTTAAATAAACATCCAACACCATAAACATATCACTTAATGCACATATGCTAAATATAGCACTTTATTTTATAAATAGTCTAATAAATTTTCAGATTTGATTACAGGATAGTTAAAATCAAAGTTTTTTTATTAAATTCAGATTTTTGATTTACATTCAACTATTTTTTTATTTGTTGAAACCTTATATTTTTCAGTTTCATTTTTTAATTTATTTCAGTATGGTTGTGTTGAGATATCAAGTAGTTTCATCTGCATTGGTGCAAGTACTGGAACAACTTACATGTTTGATAGACAAACTTCTGAGCTCAAACATTTTATCACCAACAAAGTAAATATAGTTAGTCATCAGTTTCTATAGTATATAAAAAAAAGTTAAGATTTTTTTATAATTTTTTAGGCTTCAGCAATCGTCCATTTAAAATTTTCTTCTGATGGAAAAATCTTAGCTGTTGCTGACAGGTTTTTATTTATAAATATATATAAATATATATATATATATATATATATATATATATATATATATATATATATATATATATATATATATATATATATATATATATATATATATATATATATATTTATTTACTTAATTAAGTGAAAAATAAGATAATAATTTGTTTTTGTTGTAGTTATTTTTTTTTAAATCCAGACAAAAGTTCTTATTCTGGAATTTAAGTTGAGAAAAATAGCAGGGCTCAATTGAACGGTCAGACATGGCCGCCCCAGACATGGCCGACTGTTTTTGAGATCTGATTTATAGGGGCAACCAACCATTGTTCATTTTTACTGAAAAAATCAACAATGGGTTGTTGCGCTCCTCTAGCAGGTCTCAAGAATGGTTTGAGGGGCAACGATGTCCAACCGTTAAATTGAGCCCTGAATAGTATTAGTCTCTAATACAAAGTATAAATTAGATTATAAAAAATTTTATATAAAGTTCCAATCAACAATTTACTGCTTCACATTTTTAAAATTTCACAATTTTACAATTTAAAATTTAATTAATTTTTAATAAGTTTTACTGCAATACACGAACTATAGGCTAATCTGTTTAAGCCTAGTTATACTGCAATAGATCTTGGTACAAGAAACCCATGTGGCCTTGATGATATGAAAAAAATATATATATTACCCATCATTCTATATTCATTAATCTTTTAAAAAATGTAAAGATTTTGATCTGTAAGTATATTGATTTCCATATATGGATAACATGTGCAGTTCTTACTTTTTTGTATTGGAATATTGCAATTGATTTTCCACTACTTTCCAGACCAGCTGGAGCTCTGAAAATTTTAGGCATTTTTGTAGCTGATTAAGTTAAATACTTTGAACTAATACAGTAAAAGAAAACATGCCTGTTGTATTAAAATCTTAAATTATTTGTTTAAAGTTTAAAGTATCTATAGATTCTGGGCTAAATTGATGACAGCTCCTTATTCCAGGAATTGTTCTATTTAGCTAAAAACGTTTTTTAAAAAAGTGGTGTGCAATTCTGTCAGTTTTCTTTTTCAATTTTGAAAAAAGTTTTTAATATTTTTTTAACAGCAGTCAAGCATTTTATTACAATTCAATATCTGGTCATTTATGGAGCTAAATTTAAGGAGCTTTGTAGAATTTTATTTGCATTTAATTGTTTTACAGTGCCACCAATTGTAGCCAAAATGTCCAATCTGCATCAATATCAAAATCACCTTTATGGAGAAAGATATTGTAAAGGTTTTTGTGATTTTTATACTGTGCAGCACAACCATCTGAAAAATAAAGAATCTTTGAAATTTTAGGATGATTTTCTTTTAAATAATAAGTTATTTCAGCCTAAACTTCATACACAAAACCAATGCCATGCTCATTATCTTTTGACATAAAGCAAAACAATTTTTCTTTAAGCTGGTAGTTTTTGTTTAATAAATAGAGGGCAACGGGGTGTAATATGCATTTACTTTGGCACCAATGGTAACTTTGGATTTCATCTTGAATTAAAAACATGTAGTTTTCTGCAAAATCACCTAAGACAAAACAGCAATCTTTTGCTACATTTTGATTTTATTGCTTTAAGTATCTTGCTTGACATTTTACAATGTAGGAATGAGATGTTAACTTGTTTATTGATTTTAAGAAATTTTACAATGTAGGAATGAGATGTTAACTTGTTTATTGATTTTAAGAGTCCAGCTAGTCTGGAAGGTAGTTAAAAATCATTTGCAATACTCCGCTACAAAAAAGTGGGGACCATGCCCCATTATTCATATATACAAATCCATATACTTGCAGATCAAAATCTTTATATTTTTTGAAAGGTCAATAATTATAGAATGATGTGTAATATTTTTTTAAATACCATTATCAGGTATATAAAAAATTGCCTAAATTTATTTAAATTGATAAATACAGGTACTTAAAAATAATTTTTTACATTTCTGATTATTTTATTAAAGTTATGTAACTTGAAACCTGTAAATAAACATTGTAATTCTGAGGGGACAAGAGGGGCCTGGCCAACATCTGTTCAAAGTAAAATGGTCATATTTCAGGATCTTCTTAAAGTCAGAGGCAAAATTTTTCAAGGAATTTTTATTTTACTAAGTACTCTTAAATGTATAAAAATCAGTAAAATCTGAGATATAGGGTGATATTTTTTTAAGTTTCTAGGTAATTTAACATGGAATAATCCAACTACCTCCAATCTTTCATCTCAGAAGATGTAGCTTCTCTATCACACAACATGCTTTTCATAAATTTAATATCAACACCAATGATATCTTGTTGATAAGTAACAGTTTCATACATTTGTTGTGCACCTTTTATTTTATACTACAAAATACAATAACAGTATAAATATAATATATCATATATTTCTTAAAAAGTATGAATATGTATATATTTCTGAGTTGTTACAATTCAAGGTCATTTAAAAATAGTAATAAACTAATCAGAAGTAAAAATCATAATCTACATAACACATACATTAACTTTTAAAGAAGACCTGATGCAACAAAAAATAAATTTAAAAAAAACAAGATTTTCATTAGCAATAAAATAATTTGACTCACAATCCAAACATATTGGATAAATATGATAAAAAAAGAAAACTTTGCATAGTCTGCCACAAAAATTGCACAATTTTTTTAATACTAAAATTATGAACAGGTTTCTAAGGTATAAGTTTATTATTTTGAGGGCAGCTGTCACACCCTAACATTCATTTATATGTTATGTATGTATTTATACAATACATACAGTGTATGTATGTATATATTGTATACATACATAGATACAGTTATTGGCTCAAATATTTTATTTAGCATTTTTACAAGATATTTACATATGTAACATATATGCAAATATGTACACATAAAGATATTGGTTAGTTGAATAAAATTGGTTACTTTATAGCAACATCCGTGTTGCTATAAAGTAACCAATTTTACACATAATTTGAATGAATTTACAACTGATATTGTCGGAAGAGGCCGTAAAAGAAAAAACATCTGCTGCCATTGATTGAAACTGATGAGAGGAATAATGTAGAAAAATAAACTTCAGAATATAGTGTCGAATATAATAAATAGACCTAATGTCGCAAAAAAAAGGAATAGTCGCAAATGAATATTATGAATAGTGTCGAAAACAAAAAAAAGGAATAGTGTTACAAATAATAAAAACAGAATACTGTCGCAAATAGTTAATTTCAGCAATTGCTTACTCGTTTTGCTTATCTTTATAGCATACAGCTTTAACACACACAAAAAAGAAAAAAAAACAAAGAATAATGAAAGAAAAGATTGCTACCAAACCTCAAACCCTCAGTTGATGTAGCGGGACTCCTTTGCGGAAGCAAGTTATAAGATAGTTGGTGTATGTACTGAAGCCCTCAGCAGCAGGCTGTTTCAGAATGACATCAGACATGTTATCTAAACACACATTTGCAACACTATTTCTTTTTTACATTTAGTAGTGTTTGTTGCAAAAAAACTATATGATTTACTTAAATTTACCTAAATTCTTCTGGCAGAAATAAAGCGAGGCATATAAATTAAGTTGCATGAGAGGAACAGTAAAACATGATGGGGGAAATGTCATGCTGTGAGAATGTCTTGGCAAGGAGCTGGCAAATTAACTTTAATTGAGTTGACTATGAAAGCCAATTTATATGAAGACATTTTAAAGCAAAGTTTGAAGCTTGTAATTTTAGATTCAGAAATAATTTCCTGTATCAATAGGACAAAAACATGATATGCCAATAACAAGAAGTGTATTTGAAGAACAATCTGCTCAAATTAAAACAGCAGCAACATAAATCAATAAAAACAATCCTTAAGTCCTTACCACAACCATTATCAACACCACTACCACCACGTTGCCCAAGACCATTGTTAGTCACCTATAAATCAAACCAGCTACACTTAAGCCAACTAAATCATCTGCAATTAAACAAAATTAAAAAAATAATTAGTAATGCACATGAAGAACTTAACTTCTGGACAAATAACCCTTGTTTGCTAAACGAAGTCAAACGAAATGAACTAGCTGCAAGAATTGATGAGATAGCAAAAAAAAAAAAATGCATTTCTTTTTCTACATTGAGACCTGGTTTGATCAAGTGTCAGAAACTTGACTTTCTGGCTAATAACTCCATAAAAAAAATTAAGAAAGCAGAGGAGGTGGTGTAGCCATCTACATAAAAGGTGATATCCCAGCAAATGTAATAAAAAGTGAATAAACTCAACTCAACAGATATCGAACAATGGCGAGTGATAACGTTAGGCATTAAATCTATCTTAATAGACCGCATATACGGACTGTATGATAATCACGTGAGAGTTCTAGAATCATCAAATAGATTGACTCAGCAAAGCAGAGCTTGTCAACACTTGGCTGCTTATCTGTCCTAATCTATGGCGATTTCAACATCAGCCATACAATATAGGAGGTACTTGAGACTGATGGAGGTGCGGCAATGGTTGCACGTATACAAAATAAACATCCAACTGACATAAGATTCCAGCAATTTTTAAATGAAAACTTTCTCATGCAAATAGTCACTTTCCCCACTCACTAAACAAATAGAGAAGAAAGACTATCAAGCACACTAGATTTATTAATCACAGATGAACCTGATCGCAGAGATGATTTTCATGAAAACAACTCACTTAGCTTCACACCAGCAGGGAAAGCCCACTGCTTTCTTATTGGCTCATATCCTACACACAGCACTTCTCTTAAAGAAAAACAGAAAAGATTCATCTGGAGCAGGGCAAACAATGAAGCTATCTTAATGCAAATTGCATTCTACGATTGGGTGACAATTTTCAATTTCCATTCAGTAAATGATAATTATCAGGTGTTTGTTGACAAAAACAAAGTGGCAGTCACCTTACACATACTTTCAACTAAAACACTGTTCAAGCAACAACAACAACAAAAAAATTAATATGCCAGAAGTTGAAAAAGCAATCGAAAAGAAAAGAAACCTTTACACAAATATCTTGCAGCTGGTAGATAGACTCACATAGAGATTCAAGAACAGCATAATGCAGAGTTAGTTAAGGTTGTAAGATCAGCAGTTATCAATTCAAAACATCTACATAGCCAAGTCAAACAGAAACAAATAGCTAATGAAATGGTAAAATTACTGGAAGACAACAAATGGAAATCTTACAACTGACAGTCATAAAGTTTTTCTTTTACTTAAATATTTCCAGTCTGTATTTGTTGTTGAACCGTTACATTAGATGCCAACCTATCAGAGCTGAACAGAAATGGAATGTGTTGTGAGTGAAGCAGAAATAACAACTAAATCTGTTTAGCAAAAGCTAGAAGAGATTGTTGAAACAAAGTCAAAAGGCTATGATAACATACATCCACATGTTCTTCATCACTGTGCTACTGCAATAGTCAGGCTGCTAGCAATGATTTTCAAAAAATTGCTGGCTGAAGGTAGAGTCCTGAAGCTATCAAACATGATTCCTATATTTAAAAATGGAAGCCAAAGGATATACTTGAGCAACATGCCAGTTTCTCTCACATCGGTACCCTGTAAGATAATGGAAAGTTTTATACACAAGTAAATCATGAAACATTGCCTTAAAAATAAGCTCTTCATGAAATCTCAACATGGATTTCTTTCAAGACATGGCTGTACAACTAATTTACTAGAGGCATGTGACATCTTGATGGAAGCAATTTTTCATAGTTATGCCATAGAGTTCCACAGGATTCAGTGTAACTCCATTTCTGTTTTTGATTAAATGACCTTCCATACAACATGGCACGTTATTTAAAGATCAATGACATTTATTTTTTATTATTTAAGATCTTAGGGGTCATCAAAACAGAAAATGATGCAATAAAACTACAACTAGACATAAAGATAATGCAGTTGAATGGTCTAAGAAGTGGCTTATGTTTTTCAACCTTGATAAATGTAAAATCATGCATGCTGGTCACTTAAAAAAGCCTTTACTCAATGCTTGGCATAGACGACAATCAAATAGAATTTGGAACAACAATTATGGAACGTGACTTAGGTATCCTAACATCAAACAACCTCAAGGTTTGGCATCAAGTAGAAGCTGCATCAGCTAAATCAAACGAAGTACTTGGCAGACTAAAAAAAATCATTTTGCACTAGAGGGATAATGTTATGGAGGGTACTACACAATCTACACAAAATCTACACAACATACATTAGACCTCATCTGGAGTATGTCATCCAAGCCTGGTCTCCTCACCTAAAAAGTGACGTAAAAACGCTTGAACGCATTCAACAACAAGCAACCAAAATGATAAGTGAGATAAAGCACAAAAAACTATGAGGATAAACTGCGACACTTAGTCTTACCACTCTAGAAGAATGATAAAAAAGGGGCAACCTGATTCAGCAGAATAAAAACTCAAACTGAATAGAAAAAGTTGCCTTTGTAGCTTTGCAAATATACAACTAAAACCTAATTTTTATATGATGGTTTTGTTTGTTTAATTTTAATTTATGAATAAACAAATTTGGTTTCAAAATAATTTAAGGATTTTTCAGCATAAAAAATTAATATTTGTTAAATTTTACCAACATTGTTTTACTGATAACTTGTGAATCTGTTATATAAATTTTTTTTTTAGCTCAGGCTTAATTACACTTTGGGAAATTCCATTCGAAATACATTCTGGAGATCATTTAATACATTCTGGAGATCATTTAAATCAAGAAATTAAAGTATATTTTCTAGTATTTTTCTTTTACCTTCATAGTATTTCAATTGTAATTTAGTCTGCAAAAAATATTGATTATTTTAAATTATCTTTTATAATAACATTAACATGATGCAGTTTTTTTTATTTTTTTATTTTAAGTTTTTTTTATTTTATAGCTATCGTATAACATTTACATCATTATTAAGAGTTTCAGATTAAAAACAGATAAAAAATTCATGAGATGGAGTCAGTTTCGTTAGATTGACCTTGTTTTTGAAAAATTGAAAAAAAAAATTACCTATAGCACAGACTAAATGAAAATATTTTTTGCATAAGTTGAACAAAAGTTAACTTTTTTACCTTGTAACTATTTATTGATGTTTCACTTCAAAGTAAAACCGTATTAACTTTTTATAAAACATTGACATTGTATATTAATTACTAATTTTCCCATAAAAGGGTTGCTTAACTGTTTATTTATACTTTGCACTTAGCAAACTTTATAAGATTTTTTTATTTTATTATCTCTTTTCCATATAAAATATCTGTTTTTAACCTACTATGTTTATAAATGAATTTTTCATGCAATTTCAGCATGGCAATATTAACTGATTTAATAAAAGTTCATTTTCTATTTTAGTTTTGAGTTTTTATTTTATGTCATGTAAACAAGTTGAGTTTTTATCCAAGTCACATAATTACAATATAGTTTAAATTTTAAATTGGGATGAAAAAACTTGAATAATCAATCTTTAGGATCAGTATTTATATTAGAGACGTTTTTTAATATATAAATAACAATAAATTGATGGTTAAGAGCACAAAGGGAATATGTCCAACATTAAACATGAGGTAAACATTAAACAAATTAGGTATTAAAGTATGTAAAAGAAATGAAAATAAAACAGTAAAAAACAAGAATTAATTGAGGAATGCAATTGGTTAAAAATCATGACAATAAATAAATATCATGAATTATTGTATGTTTTCAAACTTTCAAATTCAGATTTCTCAAAACAATGGTTGGTGGACGTATTCCCTTTGTGCTCTTAACCATCAAAATGTAGATAGATTTAGTTGATAGTTTTAAATTTTTAAAGGTTTTTAGAGAAATAAAGGAACTCGTAGGTGAAAAAATTTCTGAACTTTGTTGGCATGAAAATTTAAAGTTATTTATCGGGACTCAATCTGGTACAGTTGCATCTTTTAATGTAGGCTCAAACGTAAGTTTTTTATAATTTATTTGTATTATTAAAATATATACAGTGCCTTACCTAGCTTTTTGTAAATAATTATGTATTTAAAAGCCCCTACTGTAAATGGAATGTTAATTAAAAAAAAAAAATAAAGTGGTTTGCTTTATCACAAGACCTGGCTTTGAATCTCTTAAATATAGCAATTTACGTTTAGCAAAAACTTTAATTTATTGGATTGTTTAAATAAAACATGTAAACTGCATTTGTGAAATAATTTAATTTTTTGTTTTTTAAAAAAAGGATTGTTTAATAATTTTTTTTTTAATTAAAAAACTTTCAATTATTATGACTTCAAAAATTATTATGACTTCAAAAATTTAAAATTTAATTATAACTTAGAAGGAATGTAAAATGGTTTGGCAATATTTCCTAAAGAAATAATTATTTCCTTTTTATTTGAAAACTAATTCATTACATAAAAACATTGTGATAATATGAAAGTCTCCATCATAGATTCAAATGTTTAAAAGCAACCATAAAACCTCATTTTACATGTTTAAAAGCGAATTCATTTTTTTGTTTTAAGAGAAGTGTTTTTGTTTAAAATAATTTTTTTTCACTTGTAAAATTTAAACTTTTTCTATTATATTCAAATCACGTTAATTATGACAAATTTTATTCATGAACACAAATTATGTTTACATATATCTTATTGGTAACTGATAAAATATATCATTTATCATTTAAAAATATATCATTAAATCATTTGCAATTTTTATTAAAGATAGTTTATTAAACATTTAAAAAAACAAAACAAACAAAAAAAATTGTGATAAAATAAACAAAAAATTATCATGTTATATATGTAAATATTGAATGTATATATGAGTGCCGTACCAAGACATAATCCCAAACCAATAAGTTTCTTATATTAAATGATAAAACCAATGTATCACATGAAATAACCTATGTATCAATAAGTTCCTTATAATAAAAAATTACACATAATATAACAAAAGTTTGGAATCAATGAGTGTTTTATACTTGATGTATACACATGAAATAACCAATGTCTTGGAGTTTAGATAAAAATAAGCAAATTTATCAATTAAGTTAGTAAAAAATGCAATAAAAACCATTGTCAATTGCTGCTTATTGTTAATGCTGACTGTTTAATTCAAAATTGTTATCTTGAAAAGAATTAGAAATTAGTATTCAAAAATTAGTATTAAAAAAAATGCTGTTTTTTTGACATGTTTTGAAAATAATTTAGTTATTACAAGTTCTTCAATATTAACACAGAATTAAAATAACAACAATGTTGAATTAAAACGACATTAAACTAAAAATAAGTACTATATTTCATTAAACATTTATTTCATCAGCAATGATGAAATAAATGTTTAATGAAAGTTTTGCAAAGCAAACTATTATCATTGGTAAATATTTTATGTGAAATGCGTATTACGATACCATTCTCATAGGTTATTTGAATTTAATTAGAAGAGATTTTCTATAATAGTTAGTCAATTATATTAGAAGAGTAATATGACAGATGTTTAATAGAAATAGGGTAACTAGCCTTCTCAAAAGATGACTAAAATTAAAAAAAGTGGCAGTCAGTCTCCCAGACAACCAAATAATTTAAAGAATGTATTAAATAGTAAAAATGTTTTATAAAATGTTCAAGAATTTTATGCAAATTTATGATACTGATACAAATTCATATTTGCAAATATTTTAAAGGGCATAAACAGCAATTTTCAAAAAGATTTCAAGTTACAAAAAGTAGACAAAGATTTCAAGTTACAAAAAGCTTTATCTGTTACTTGTAAGTACAAAAGACAGGCATAAACCACAGAAAAAGGAAATTAATTCCTAAGAACGTTGGCATAAAGATGGCTTAAATTCATAAAGACATGCTAGTAAGCTGAATATTATTGGCATTAAGATGGCTTAAGTTCATAAAGACATGCTAGTAAGCTGAATACTAATGATGTTTATTTATTTTGAATAGGTTTTTTGTTTATACCAAAATTTTGATAATTTTTTCCTTTAATTTTTCTTCCATTTTTGTAATATTTTTTGCTTGTTTATGAGATAATATTTGCAGAAATTTATACAAAAATTAAAAAGCACATTTAGGTTCCATATTATGTTGTTTTGTAGATGAAAACACCAAAGTAGATATCAAATATTGAAATTTTATTTATAGTTAATTTAGTTTTGAATTTACTTAAATTTTAATTTTATGTTTTACTTTTTTTTTAATAGCATTTTAATAACTTTTTGATTGACCAAAATCAAATGGTTTAAAATAAAAGTCTAAAATTAAATATATAAATATTGATGGGGCAATGATGGGTTTTACATTTGTGGGGTATTTCATTTTAGATATAATACTAAAATATAATTCTATATATTATAAAAAAGATAATACTAAAATTAAATTTAAAGGAGTTTTTTTTTTTTTTGAAATTGGTTAGAAATGCTGCAAGTGCATGAATTGGTTTAAGTTGCTATGAAAAAGTTGAACAGCTCATTCATTTGCATTTATCTGACCTTGTATTCAATACTCAAAGATATTTAAATGATTGTATTAAAGCCTAAATGATGTTTTATTTAAAAATATTATTTTTATAATCAGTTTGTAGGTTGGCTTGATAAAAAATTTCAGATTGCAGAGAACAATTTTAAATAATGCTGATCGCTTAATTAAACAAATTAAATATTGCCTAAATGTAAGTTGATGACATCATTTATCAAATGTTTGTACAAAGCATAATTTCTAGTATTATTAATAATGATTGAAATTATTTAGTTTGAAAATATTTATTTTTTCAATTAACTTGTTTTTATTATGTACCAAAGTAAATTTGTTCACTTTTGTAATGGTATTTTTTTTTTACATTTATACTCGATACCAAAAAATATTAGGATATGGTAGACACATACATAACATATCTTATCCAAGTATTTTAATTACAAACTTTATAGAATAGGTTGAAACAACTACCGCAGAGAGTCACAACTTTTAAAATAGCAAGGTACTAAGTAATTATGGTGGTGATTCTTACAGATGCATATCATACAGATAGTTGAAAAGGTTTAATCATCTTGACTTTCTTTCCATATAAAAAAAAACTGGTTGATCAAGAACAATTTTTTTCTATTCACATATGATAATATATGTTAATTTTAATGGTTGAAAAGTGATAATTATTGCAAGACTTCTAATGTTTATATTAATTGCAAACTTTAGGTACTAAAGTTTGAAATTAATATGAATGTGCACTTTTCATGATGGCTGCACTTTTTTTTAAAACTCTGTTCATAAATTGTTTGTAAAACCTTTGATTTATCTGTTTACAAATTTGTTTATAACAGTTTAGCTCTAAAAATTAATTTCATAATTTTATATAAATAAGTTATGTTTATTTAAATTAGTTATGCAATTTTTTATAATTATTTATTTAAATTAGCTATACAATTATATATAATTAGTTATTTAAATTAATTAATTAAAGTTTGTTCATTTTGCAAAACTGTCAAAAACCATAACTTTAGGTATTTGTATCAAAATTTGAAATATTGATGAAATCTGGAAGTCACATAGTACAATTGGTAAGATATTTATTTTTATAACAATCTTATAATAGAACTTTCATAAAAAAAAATTGTGTAAATACTTTATTAAATAGTTTTCTAACTTTAGGATGTATCATCTTTTAATATAACTTTCATAAAAAAAAATTGTGTAAATACTTTATTAAATAGTTTTCTAACTTTAGGATGTATCATCTTATAATATAACTTTCATAAAAAAAAATTGTGTAAATACTTTATTAAATAGTTTTCTAACTTTAGGATGTATCATCTGGTAATCTTCTTATTTCATCCACAACAAAAGCTTTGATATACTCTTTGGATAGGTATACTTTTAAGTTGTGTTTATAATTGGTCTAAAAAATAAACCTTATTTTATTACACATTGGTTTAATAAAAGCTTTTTACCAACACAATTAAACCATTTTTAATGTAGGGTTTATATTATTACAGCATTGTTTGATGGGATTAGAAACTTTTACAGATTTGTCTCAAATCATATCAAAATAATTTCTTTTGAGATCCAATTTCTTTTAAAGAATTTTAGAGTTTGTCATTTATTTAGAATAATGATAGCATAAGGATAAATTATTAGGAATAATGATAAAATGATAAATTTTTATAAAGAATAAGGATAGTATAACAAGAAAAACTTTACTAGGCTATTTTCAAAGACACGCTCAAGGCTATGTTTTAAAATATGCTCATGGCATATTTTAAAACATATTTTAGAACATTCATTTTCACCCTTATTAGCTAGAAGTTGTTAAACAGATATTAAAAAACTTAGAATGACTTAAAAAAACAAAAAGTTTACACAGAAAATAACTACGGCACAAAAAAGCTCAGAATGGCAAAACAAAGCAAAAAAAAAACAAAAAATCAGTTTTAATTTTGCAATTCACAATCAAGGCCTAATTCAATTTCAAAATCTTCGCCTAATAAATTTTGTTATAATTATATATATACATATTTTATGTTTATGGTTTCTATTTTTTGTAATTATAAGCTTACAAATGTATTGATAAGGTAGGGGTTACAAAAATAGATTTTCTTTTTTAAACTATGTTCTAAGAAAAATATGCTCATGGCTATGTTCTAAGAAAAATATGCTCATGGCTATATTCTAAGAAGAATATGCTCAAAACATTTCATATTCTTAGAAAAGTTTCTGGAAATCTTTAAATCTTTAAATCTTTAATTTACAAATTTGAACTTCATCTTCATTTTGAACTTCAAATTTGAACTTCATCTTCATTTTGAACTTCAAATTTGAATTTCATCAATATTCAAATTTGTAAATCAAATTTGTTTCCAAAGTTAAAAGTTAATGTTTATTAGAAGCATATTAAAGTAGAATTTCATTCGATCATATTAAAATAATCTCATTCTATCAAATATTTATATACAATGTAACTACTTAATGTGTCTATTTACTACTCAATATATATTTGTCTTAATATTTTATAGTTTAATGTAAAAAAAAAGATTATTCTAATTTATTTTTGGAGGTTCAATTTTTTTTTAACTGAAATTATTTTTATTACATTTAGTGGTCAGTTTTGTCAAATAGGAAAAAAGGCACGGTAAATAGTTTTAACATTTTATTATTAAATTTTAAGATTAATTTTAAATATTTTGCTTAATGTAAATCTACATACTTATATTTGATAAAAAAATTTTTTACTGCTAGTTTAAGGATGAAACCAAACATTACTGGTAATGTCATGCTAAAATAAAATAGGTGAGGACAAGTTTATATACATAGACTGGTGGGTTAAGGTATCATTAGGCAGTACAACTCTTTTTTTCTTCCAAAAAAATGGACGTGTTTGATTTTCAAAATGCTGCGTAATTTTGATAAACTGCATAAATAAACTTATTTAATGTTAGTAAAATTTAAAATCTGAAACAAATTTGTAACATTAAAACTAAGATGAGGATAGTGAAAATTATTATTTGTAAATTATATTTAACAAAATACTTATTCAACAGAATGTTTATTCAACAAAATATTAAGATAGATGAAAAGGCTGAAATTAGCATTAAATTAACTATAAAAAACCATTTGTAACAGTTTGGCTGATAAATCATGAGACTGACACATAGATATATATCACCATGGTGATGGTGAGCTCACAATCGATCAAAAACAACAAGTTGATTCTGTTTGTCTTTATTATGGTTTGAAGCTGTTCAACCATAATAAAGACAAATTTTTGCAATGGTATGTGACAATGGATGAAACTTGGCTCCATCACTGCACTCCAGTGCCAAATCAGCAATCAGCTGAGTAGACTGTCCGAATCCAAAGTGTGGAAAGATGGAACAGTTGCCTGGCAAGGTTATGGCATCCGAATTTTAGGGAGCACATGGAATAATTTTCATCAACTATCTCCAGAAGAATTAGACCATCAACAGCAAGTATTACATTACATTGTTGTTTTAAAAATTAAAAAAAAAATGTGCGTAATAAAGGGTTAAGAGAATTCTTAGTGGGTAGAAATTTAAGACCGATAAAGAAGTGATTGCCCAAGCTTATTTTGATGCTCAAGACAAATTGTTCTACAAAAATGATATTGAAAACTTGGAAGTTTGCTATAGTCGATCTATCGCCCTTGAAGACAACCATGTTAAATAATTAAATCTAAAAGTTAATTAAATCTAAAAAACTAATTAAATCTAAAAACTAATGTTAGAAAGAATCAAATAAATTTAATGGTTTAATTACTTCAAAAATATTGTTTCACCAAATAAATTTAATTAAAAAATTTTTGTAACTATACTTTACTAATTTGTAAAATGCTAATAAAATTTTAAATCTTGATTTATATATATTCAAAGTATATATTTAGTTACCTTTATATAGTTCATTTATATTTAAAAAATACTAGTTATCTAGTTATTTTATTTAGAACTGGACTTTATGGCTGCTGTTTCCTAAACAGTTCTGAAGTTATCATATATTCTGCAAGACCTGGGAGTCGACTTTGGGAGGTATGCTAGATAATTTTTATATAATTTTTATTACATATTATTCAATCACATGGTAGTTCATTATGTATTAGCCAATCACATTTTAGTTCAGTACATATTAACCAATCACATTGTAGTTCAGTACATATTAATCACTTAATACTACTTAACATAAAAATTTAGTATAAGTATACCAACTTAAAAAATTCATGATTAATAATAGAAATATTAAAAACAAAAACATTCTGCAGAAGCTGAAAAAACCTTTTTTTTTTTTTAGTTTCTATAGTTCATTTGTTTTATTGATTGAAATTCCTTATTTATTTAATTAAAAATAGTTAATTGCCTAAAAGAATCGGTGATTATTGTAATAGTATACACAATCACTGTTGTGGTGCATAACAATTATTATGCACAACAACAATGATCGTGTATGGACCCACCAACAGGCTTTGAGGTTGTGAATTAAAAAAAAAATGTGTATGTTATGAATTTTAAAGTTATATACAATACTAAACACATGTACTATATTGGAATCCAAACAAGCATTATATTATATAATATTAAATTCAAAACAGGTATTTCTTTTTTGCCAGGCATACTCTGAGAAAGAAACTCTAATATCCATAAAAATAAGTTAAAAAAAAAAATTATAAGAAAGGTACTCAAGTTTTATTTTTTTTAGCTTTAATGTCATAATGTCAAATTTAAGTAAGAAAGTGGTATTATGAAATAAAGCAATGTTTAACATGTTTTTTATGTCAAGGCTGAGTATTTTATTGTGATACTATCACTAGAAAGACTGAGTATTTTATTGTGATACTATCACTAGAAAGACTGAGTATTTTATTGTGATACTATCACTAGAAAGACTGAGTATTTTATTGTGATACTATCACTAGAAAGATTACAATTTTATATCAGAGCAATCCTTTTTGTAGGCCTAAAAGTTGCATATAAATAAATATTCGTAATAATAATATAATAAATGAAAAAATTAATAGAAAGAAATCATCTCATGGATGCTTTTTGTATTTTATTTTATAATGTAATGCAATAGGTTGATACTTCTGGGCAGGTTTTGTCTACACATCAATTTAAAGAATTGTTAAATATACCTCCTACTCCAATTATTACATCAAGGTATTATTAATATTTATTATGTTTATTTTTTTTCTTTCTAAAATCCAAACTTACCACCTATTGTTAATTAAAAGTTAAGCATCAATTTTTCATGAAAGTTCATCAACTTGAAGTTTTAGCATTATTTGTTTTCCAGAAAAACAAAAACAACATGCTTAAATATAGCTTTTTTTTTCTTCAAGACATTAGGCATACAAGTATAGTAATTATATTTAGGCATCTATAAGTTTCAAAAATCCAGTATATGTTATAATATTTTGGTATTGAAGTGCCAGAAAAAAGATTTTCAAAAAAACAGCAAAGCAAGTTTTGCAGTTTTTTTGAAAATCTTTTTCTTTATTTAAACAATAATAAAACTGCAAAACAACTTTTTTAGTTCTTGTTTTTTTTGGCAAAAAACAAGAAAAAAAAGCAACTTTCATTTCTATACTGAACATATAACATATTTTTTATTTGGTACTTAAGTGTACCACTGCTCTTCCATTTTTCTTATTTTTTTTATTTATTTTTTATTATAAGAGGTATTGTAAGGTGGTATTTATTTTTTGTTGTAAAATTTTTTATTGTAAGGGGGTATTTATTTATTTATTGTAAAAGTATTTTTGTTCTATCCTCACACTACATTGTTTTTTGTTTTACAAATGGTTATTACATATTTATATGTTAATAAACTTTAATTTAATTTTAGTTAATAAATTTTATTAGTTCTGTCTCAGTAGTTTTAAATTTTTAACATTTAATTATGTTACTTGGTTATCATTATTTTAATTTTTATATATTTAGTTTCAATAAAAAATATAAATAAAATAATAAATTTGTATAAATTTAATCATTACTCATTACAGCGCTGTTAAATTGTCAGAATCAAATTGTTCTTCAACAAGCCGTCTGAGTTTCAACTTTCCTTATCTCTATCAAGTTATGTAAGTTAAAATATTTGGGTTGCTTTTTTTTCAACTAAAGAAAAGACAAATATTTGCCTAAAAAATTTTTTTTAAAAACTTATTAAAATAAGAATAAAATACATTATGATAGGTGTTGAGATTGTTGTTCATTTTTTTAAAGTTTATTTACATCCCTAAGGCTGAGTTGAGGCCTACTTTTTTTTATTGTTACAAGACCACTACTATGGATATGGTGGGGGTTGAACTTAGTAGTTATTGCTTAGAAGCAAGTACTTTCCCACTGCACCATTGTCACATTTGATTTTGTAATATGCATTTTTGTAAGATGTATAATCTGATTATTAAATGAATAATTTCAGTTAATTTGCACACATTGACTGAGGGTTTTGTTAGGCCAGTTACACACACACATACATATATTTATATATAGATATATAATCATATATATTTATATATTTGTATATATAATATATGTAAATATATTATGTAATGTAAATATGTTATACAATGGAATGTATAAAAGATTTGCTTTTTTGAAAGTTAAAGCATTTTTAAATATCCATTCAGCGTAAGATAAATTTTTGTTTTTGGCAATTAAGAGTAAACTGCTTTTGATAATAAAATAGCATAAGTAAAAAATAACTTGTAACTATCCTCGTAACTATGGCGCAAGTTTAATTTTTAAATGAATGATCTTTAGCTTGCTATTTTAGTTTACGTAAGAAAAAGGAAAAAACGAAGTATAAACTTTTTTAGACAGTTTTTTTTCCTTTCAATATTCTTTTTAAAATAATAAAAAAAAAAGGTTTCAATAACTTAATAAAAGTTTTATTTAAATCTTTTTTAAATAACCCATAGTAAATGTAATTTATTTATTGAAATGTAATTTTTAAAATTATTCTTAATAATTAAAAATATATATACTTTTAAATATATGTTTTTAAAAATATAATATGGTTTTTAATCAAAATAAAAGAATATTTTTAAAATTATGTTCACTGTAATTATCTTTAATTTAAAAGGTGCCTTAAAATCACTTTAAAAATTATTTTTATTTGTAGAAATTGCATTAAAAATTATATTTATTTGTAGAAGTTGCATTAGAAAATATATTATCAACTAGAGTTTTGGAGTGATTTGTGATTCTTGTTGGCAGTGAAATAAAGGGAAGAAAGTTATTTAAAGCAATGGTGTCTAAAAATTCAGAAATATAATTATCTGAGTTTGCTAATAAAAGATCGACATTTAAATCACCCATTAAAAAACTTGTTTTTTTCCATAGATAGCTTTTCCAAAAGTGGAATTAAATATGATTTAATAAATTCTGAAATATCCATACTAGGATGGCGATAAATGCAGCCAATAATGATGTTTGATTTTTGAGGAAATATGATTTCCACAAACACAGATTCTAAAAACTTTAGTTTAAGCATATTAAAATCATTTCGAGGTTTGTAAGTTGATGTATTAGATATATAAAGTAAGGCACCTCCAAAATAAGATTTTGTCCGAGTGTGCTCATAAACATGACCGGTAAGATCTAATGGGATAGTTGGTAGGATGTCATATATATATATGTATATATATATATATATATATATATATATATATATATATATATATATATATATATATATATATATATATATATATATATATATATATATATATATATATATATATATATATATATATATATATATATATATATATATATATTTTTTTTTTATTTGCATTCACTCCCAACAAGGCTGCAAGCAACCACTATTAAGTTGGGAGTTACTAGGAAAAAAAAGAACAGAGTTATAGAGCAAGGAAACGGTTGACAGAAGACTTGAAAAGTTGAAGGTTGTATGAGTCAGGAAAACATGAAGATGGGAGAGAGTTCCAAAGGATTGAAGTGCGGGGAAAAAAACTAGATGAATAAAAGTTTTTAGAGCATGCAGGGACAGATACAGTAAACGAATGAGACTTAGCTGAATGACGAGTAAAACGAGAATGAATTTTAGTTGATGGAATTAGAGATGATAACTCCTTTGAGCAGTGACCATGATAGTATCTGTAGAAAAGAGAAAGAGATGCAACTTTGCGACGATGGGAAAGAGGTTCAAGCTTAGCAGATAGTCCAGGTCCAACGACATTTACAATGCGTTTTTGGACCTTGTCAAGAAGAGAAAGTGAATCGTTAGAAGAACCAGCCCAAATATGACAACAGTATTCCATACAGGGACGAATAAGAGATTTGTAGAGGTAGAGAATGGAATCAGAAGTAAGGAAATGGCGAGCACGATAAAGAGAAGCAACCTTAGCAGAAGCTAATTTAGCAATCGATTGTATATATGGTTTCCATGAAAGGTCAGTAGTAAGCGATAATCCAAGAAGACGTAAAGAGGACGACTCAGTAAGAGGATTGCCATTCATTAATATAGGAATGTTGACCATATTACGGTAGTTGTTTGCAGTAAGCAATTGGGTTTTTTTAGAGTTGAAATTCACAAGCCGCTGTGAACCCCAATCTATTACTGAAGTGAGATCAGATTCAAGATCAGCTGCTTGTTCTAGGCGATCGAAAAGAGAAGACTTTTTGTCAAGACAGGAGTATAAAGTTGAGTCATCAGCAAAAAGAGCTACTTTAGATGAAAGGTTGTCAGGAAGATTGTTTATGTAGATAAGAAACAAAACAGGGCCCAGGATGGAACCTTGGGGAACCCCAGAAGTTACTGGAAATAAAGAAGAGTGTTGGCCTTCAAGGATGACTTTAATAAACCGGTTAGAAAGAAATGATTTGATTATCTCAAAAACTTTCCCAGAAACACCATATGAAGCAAGCATATGGAGAAGACCAGCATGCCAAACTTTGTCGAAAGCTTTAGATATGTCGAGAGCAATAGCCCTAGCCTCACCGCCTCCATCTAATGCACGATAAAATCTTTCAGTTACAGCAGTTAGCAAGTCGGCCGTAGAGCGAGAGGATCAAAAACCGTATTGATTGTCTGACAGCAGTTTATTTGACTCAAGATGAGATGTGAGGATTTTGTTGATCAAAGACTCAAAGACCTTGCTAATAACAGAAAGAAGACTGATCGGACGGTAATTGGAGGGGTCAGAATTTTCTCCAGAGTTTTTGAATATTGGAACCACAGATGCCATTTTCCAACAAGCAGGAAAACAAGACTCAGTCAAACACTTGTTAAATAGTTTAGAGAGAATTGAAGAAAGTTCTGGAGAACAATTCTGCAAGACTGTGACAGGAATGTTGTCTGGACCACAAGCTGTAGACGAGTTTAGTTGAGATATGACTTTAGCAACAGAAGCCGGAGTGATTTGAATGTCTAACAATGGGTCAACCTGTTTGACTGGAATGGAAGGAAGAGAATGTCCATAAGATTCAAGAGTGGAATTAGAAGAAAAGTTCTTTGCAAATAGTTCTGCCTTATCCTTGGGAGAGGTAATAAGATCAGTCCCATGAATGAGAGATGGAATGTTAGATCTACCCTTGTTAACAATGCTGTTGAAGATTTTCCAAAAGTCTTTAGAGCCTAACTTCTGCGATTAGATGCGAGATTTAGTGAACTGAGAATAATGGAGTTTAGCATCAGAAAGCACCTTTTTACATCGATTTTTGCAATAATAAATAGCCGTTTGTTCTCTAGAGAGTTGTTCTTTTGAAAAAGATGAAAAAAATGATTACGATTGGATATAGCAGCCGCACAAGAAGGAGAAAACCATGGAGTAGAATAAGGCTTGACTTGAAACCGACGAGAAGGAATAAAAGCTCCATTCCAGCCTGAATCCAGGAGGTTATGTAGGAGGCGCATTTGTCAGCTGAGAGAGAAAAAACATCAGCCCAAGGGCCATCACGAAGAAAATCACGAAAGGAATCCCAGTCAGCTTTAGGGTAGTAGTAGGTGATAAGGTGAGCCCAAAAAAGAAGTACGAGAAGAAAGATTTATAGAGATCATTGCATGGTCAGAACCACCTAAAGGAGAAAAGGGAGAAACTGAACATAAGCTAGGGTCAGAGACAAGACATAAGTCAAGGAGTGAAGGTAAATGATTAGGGTTGTCAGGAAAACGAGTCACAAAGTTAACTATCTGAGTAAGAGATTGAGAAACGCAGAAGTTAAAGGCTTTAGTGCCAGCAGGATCAGTGGTGTTAGAGCCAAGCCATTCAGTGTGATGGGCATTAAAATCACCAACAACAACAATATTGGCAGAGGGGTAAAGAGAGAGGGCATGGTCAATTTGATCAGAGATAACATCTAAAAGAGTGCAGTCATGGGAAAAAGGAGAACAATAAAGAACAAAGAGAAAGGTGATAGAGTGAAGAGGTGCTAGGCGAAAGCACATAAAAGAATGGTCAAAGGATTCGAACCTGATTTCACGACAAATAGGGGAATTAATGCGTATGTATACCCCTAAACCTAGCATGTGACTATTGGAGTCTTTACGAATCAAAGGATAGTACCCATCAACACTGACATCTGAAGAAGGAATTGCAGAACTTAAATTTGTTTCACTGAGTGCAAGCAAGTCTGGTGAATTTTGCAGGAGGTAAGACTCAACTGATGGAAAGTTGCTTCGTAGACCGCGAATATTTGTAAAAGATATATTAAAATATTTAGGTGGTGGGGATGGTTTTTAGGTTTTAAATTTTTGGTTACTTTGGTCATGATTTGGGTTTAATGAGAACTTGACTCATTTATAGATAGAGCACAGCCTCCTAATCAATGAGCTATGCGGTTGTCTCAGTCCTGTTAATTAACCCTAAGCCGTGACATAGGGCTCCTTATGTAGCCTTGACAATGCACACCAAAAGCATTAACAGGGACACCATCCATGCGCAACATGGCACTGTTAATACTCTGATATTTTGCAGCTGTTGATGGAATCAGCCTCTCTGAGAGCTAACACAGAGTTCGGGAAACCTTACTACCAGCCGGCCTCAGAACCATTAAACTGAGTTTTAGAGCTGTACCCTCATATGGAGATAACAGGAAGAGGTGCATAGCCATTATC